CCCTCTCCACCCCCCTCATCACACCAAACAACCTCTGCCCCCCTTCCTCCTCCCCCTCCACGTCCTCCCCTTCCTCCCCTTCCCCCTCCGCCCCCGCCGCCCAAACCCTCGCCGCCCACACCCCATCCAACACCTCCCTCCCCGCGAACCCCTTCACCCCCTCCACCCCCTCCTCATGCCGCCCCAGCAGCTCTTCGCACACCCCCCGCGCCGCCCCCAGCGCCTCCACCAGCTCTTTCCCCGCCGCCCGAAACGCTGGTCGTGGATATGATACACCAATACCACCAATACCACCACCGCCACCGCCGGCGCTGCTGTTGCTGTTGCTGTTGCTGCTGTTGCTGTTGCTGTTGCGGGGGTGCAAGAAGGAAGGGAAGGCCGAGGCGGTGCGGTTGAGGTGGTGAGGGTGGTGGTGGTTGCCGCCGCCGACGACGGCGCGGTGCGCGGCCCCGCCACGGGGGTGGAAGGATATGGCGGTGGTGGCGGTGGTGGTGGATGGGGGAAGGGAGGTCGTGGTGGCGCTGTCGTCGTGGGTGTGGGTGCGTGGGCGGTGGCGGCGGGTGCGGGATGGCATGGTGGCGTCGGAGTCGGCAGCGACGTCGACGGCTCGCCTTGGAGGCGTTTGTTGTTGTTGTTGTCGGTGTCGTTGTTGTTGGAGGCTTGCGGGCAACGCCGTGGTGGTGGTGCCGCCGGGTCTGCTTGGCGCGACGGTTCGGAGTGCTGCGGTACTGCTCCGCTGCGCGCTTCGGGGACCAGGTGGCGGTGGGGGCGGGGACCTGCGTCTGATTTCGATTTCTTGCTTGCTCGATGGGTTGTGGCTGCGGCGGTAGTATAGGGTGGGATGTTGTCTCCATGACCACATCTGTGCTCAGGAAAGAAGAAAGAAAAAAAAACCCCCGAGGAGATGGGAGTTCGGTCTGTTCGATCTGTCGGTTTAGCTGCCCTGAATAGACATATGGATTAGGGATCTCGTAGTAGCACCGCTACTTGCGTGAGTGCAATTTCTGGTAGACGGCGCAGATACCATATTGGCCCGAATGGTGGACTACATATACTGCACACCGCAAACGACAATCACCCATGTGGTTTGAGAAGATGGGCAACCTACCACATAACTGCTAAGCTTCCATTGACTCTTTGAATACGTAGTTGCTGTTTGCCGAGGATACTTTTCGCCTATCTCTTCGCGCTGCTACACAATGCGTATATCAATCCTGTATCGTAGGATAAAGGGAGCAACGAGAGCCAGTAAATACAGGCCGTCAAAAAACAATTAAACAGAGCGGAATTACAAACAAATGGATCATTCCGTTCTACGGAAGAAACAGGAGACTTCCGACGGATCTTTCAAATGCAAATCAGCAACACACTTCTGGAAAAGGGACATGGGTTTGTTTGAAAAAGTCAAATAGAAAATCGGTCTGGAGATGAAGTGTTCTTCTTTTGATATCGGCTCTGATATCTATCTTAGCCATTGCTATTCCGATCCTCCCTGAGAGGCCGATCCTGGAGGCGTCTGCCTTCATGTAGTGTTAACGCCAAATCTCCAATCCCTAGCAGTCCGAGCAATGAAATCATGTGCGAATGCCCGTTAACGCCTTTTGCTTTTATGCCAATATCCCCGCTCCAGAAACTGCGACCTTCTTGTTGCTGTTCGTTCTGTCATCATGCCGTACCCCTGGGCTTAGCCTTGGCATCCTTCTTCTCCTTGGCCGCCAGCTTCTGCTTCTTTTTCTTGTCCTCAATCTCCTTCTCCTTTTTCCTCTTGAGGCTGGCCTGCTCTTCAGCAGTCTTGGGGACCGGCTTGAAGAAACCCTCCAGACGACTCTGCTGCGCAGACTTGAGATTCTTCGTCAGACGCTGTGAAGCGCTCCGCACGCGATCCTCGTTGAAGCCCTTCTCTTCGACCAGGAACTTGATCAGACCATCGACGTCTGGAGCTTCCCACTTGAACTCGCAATCAGGGTGGTCCGCTGGACGGACATCGGGCTCGAGGAAGAGGAGACGAGCGTCTTTGTAGGGCCAATCCTCGGGAAGGGTGTACTTGGGGTTGGATTCGAAGTGCTTGACGACGCCATCGAGGTCTTTGTGTTCGCGAATAAGCTTCAAGGCAGTGCTTGGCCCGATGCCCTTGATGGGGTCGACGTAGTCACAGCCGAGGAGGATACAGAGGTCGATGAACTGTGACGAGTCAGCATGAGTCGACACCAATCTCGCAAAAGAGACCTCATACCTGCTCCCTCTCCATGCCGAGGCCCTCTAGCACCTTGTCCAAGTGTATTTCCTGAATTGGCTCCTTGCGTTGCTCACTGAAAGTAAGGTGACGCAGTAACACGGGCGAGTCGAAGGTGAGAGTGTCCATATCCTCCGACGCTGCGGCATATACCTTCCCTGCCTTTGCCAGGGCGGCGCACTGAGCCTCGGCCTCAGTGGGAGCAATGATGTACGGAATGCCCATGAGCTTCAGCAAGCGCTGGCACTCGGCATTGTGCTCGCGGGTGACGCGGACGGTGCGCCTCGAGAACTTCTCGACATCCTCGGCGGTACCGGTCTCCTTGGCTTCCTCGTGGGCTTCCTGAGCCTCCGACTTGCGCTGGAAGCGCTTGGCCAGCTCGCCGGACTTGAGCTTGGGCGGGGCGCCGTCGAAGACGAAGAGCGGCTTGATGCCGTTGTCGACCATGCGCAGGGTGCGGTAGAACATGCCCATGATGTGGGAGGTGGTCTCGCCGGTCTCGTTCATGAGCTGCTGGCCGTCGGAGCGCACGGCGATCAGGAAGCTGTAGATGCTCATGGACGCATCGATGGCGACTTTGCGGCCGAACTGGTGCTTGATTTCGCCCGTCTTGATTGCGCCGGGGCAATTCTCGTTGATCACCTGGTACAGGTGTTTGATACCCATCTTGGCGACTGCCGCGGGCGCCGGCTCTGCGAAAGGGCGTTGTGGGGTGCGCGATAGGCGGGGTGGAGGGTGGAAGGTGTTGCGCGGGTGATGTCGCGAAGATGACGCCCGCGGGCAGAAAGCGCGTCTCGCTCGTTCAACGCGCGTTTTGAGTCTAGCGCGGATTTTGCGCCAGGCGACAGCCCTACGTCACGCTCTCCCGGTGAGTCCGTGTCAACCCGCGCACCCGCATTGCATGGCGGGAGCACGGGAGGTTTGATGCTCGGCCAGATCTCGCTCTGCGATCGAGCGGGCCATGCCGCCGCGAGACATCCTTTTCTTGCAGCACAAGCGACCGGGAGGAAGGTGTCTCCCGGCGGCCCCGCGCAGTGTTCCCGCTCTTCGCGCTCGCGGAAGCTTGCCGGTTCCGACCTTGCCCCTACGACAAGATGCCCCTGCAACGCGAGCCTCGGCGTTGAGTCGGCTGCACGCGCCTGATTGGTGTGGGGTTGCCGACCCGCCATCGTCGCCGTGTCGACCCTCATTATGAGCAAAGGACCGCCTCTTGCCTTGCTCTTCCTGCTTGCTACTCGTCTTTCTTTGCTATTGTGATTGCACCATGTTCAGGCCTGTCGCTCGCCATGCCGCAAGGCAATTGCGCGCTTCTGCGCGCGCTGCGCCGCTCGCCCGCCGCCAGCTCCATGCGCCAGTCTCCTTCGATTACAAGGATCCATTGGGCTCCACCAATCTATTTACCGACGAGGAGCTCGCTATAGCTGAGACGGCTGAGTCTTATTGCCAAGAGCGCATGTTTCCCCGCGTACTAGGTCTGCATTGGTCCCAAGTTTTGGCAGACGATGTGCTGATTGCGGAACAGAGGCCTACCGCAACGAGGACTACGACAAGAAGATCTTGGAGGAGATGGGCGAGCTTGGCTTGCTGGGCGCGACCATCCAGGGTTATGGGTGTGCTGGCGTCAGCAGTGTCGCGTCAGGTCTCATCACCCGTGCCGTTGAACGCGTGGACTCGGGATACAGATCCGGCATGTCGGTGCAGAGCTCGCTTGTCATGGGCGGCATCGAAGAGTTCGGAACGCAGGAACAGAAGGACAAGTTCTTGCCGGGCATGGCCAAGGGAAAGATCCTAGGATGTTTCGGTCTGACAGAGCCCAACCATGGCTCAGACCCCGGCTCGATGGAGACCATGGCTAAGCCACACCCTACCAAGAAGGGATACTTCTCCATATCTGGCGCAAAGACGTGGATCACCAACTCTCCTATTTCTGACGTGATGCTTGTCTGGGCCAAGCTGGAAAGCACGGGTAAAATCCGCGGATTCCTGGTCGAGCGCTCTCAATGTCCTCCCGGTACTCTCGAGACACCCAAGATCAGCGACAAGAATGGCCTGAGGGCGTCGATCACGGGCATGATCCAGCTCGATGAATGCCCTGTCCCTGAGGCCAACATGTTCCCCGACATTGAGGGGCTTAGGGGTCCGTTCAGCTGCCTCAACTCTGCTAGATACGGCATTGCCTGGGGTACCATGGGCGCTCTGGAAGACTGCATTGACAGAGCCCGGATGTATGCACTTGAGAGAAAGCAGTTCAAGGGAAACCCACTCGCCAAGTACCAGCTCGTACAAAAGAAACTTGCCGACGCAAGCACCGATGCGGCGTACGGCATTCTGGCTGCTGCCCAGGTCGGTCGCCTCAAGGACCAAGGCAAGGCCGCACCAGAGATGATCTCAATGATCAAGCGACAGAACTGCGACCGGGCTCTTGTCAACGCCAGGATGTATGCCGGCTCGACCCTTTTTGTCCATAATCGACCTGCTGACGTTGCGCTAGATTGCAAGAAATTTTCGGTGGCAACGCCGTCAGCGACGAGTACCACATCGGTCGCCACGTTGCGAACCTCTTCGTGACACAGACATATGAGGGCCAGAGCGATATTCATGGTGAGTTGCCTGTATGGGTGGGATATGGGACGAGCAACTACTAACGGTCATCCACAAGCCCTTATTCTCGGTCGAGCCATCACTGGCATCCAAGCCTTCGTGTAAATTGGGCTCCCCATTGCTTTTCCGGGGAAGATGGTAAGCCATAGGCGCTACCTGTGTTACAGCCACGCAATAACGCCCTCAGATCGGAAGTGGGTACATAGCCGAGCAAAACAGCCCATAACTTGAAAATGTCTCGGTAGCTGTTTGGTGCAGGCGTCGTCGACGGCTCCCAACGCCCGCGGTTGGTTGAGTTGACTCCGTATCTGCAATGCTCAGACGGTGTAGGGTTTCAAGTAGCATAAGAGTGAGCCTCAGCCGTGCGCTGTTTCGGAAGGGACCCGATGATTCTTTTTCTCAAGCATGCTTTTGCAGGAGGTCAGGTCGATCATCTGGCGACGCCTACCTGAGCAAAGTAGGTCACACAAAGAAAACAAAATTTTAAGGATTAAAAATCGCGGTCACCGTAGGCGTGGCTGTAGACAGCCTCCCCCCTCGGCGGCACGCTCGCGAGAGAACGGCATACGCCTATACTGCCCCAAGCCGTGGATGACCCAAGCGGAGAAGCTGATGGAGATTCCCGACTTGAGCGGTAGAGGCGATGATTAGAAGGTTGTGTGCGCAAGTGACACAAGAAGCGGCCAGAATGAGAGCCCGAAACCTAGGCAAGCGGACATGGGTGGGTGGGCTGTCTATCAGGCGGCTGGGCGCGTCGCAGTGTAAGGCTGCAGGTGGCGGAGAAACAGTGGTTGATGCAGGTACCTTGTACCGGGCGGGATTTCTTCAGGACGCCGCACGTGACATGCCTCTTCGCGCAGCAGGTGCAGTCACCAGGGCGGCGGCGGTGACTCAAGGGACGGGAGGTGCATGAGGCTGAGGGAGCGTCTTCCGGTTTCGTGCGCCTGCTTGCTCTGGCGTGGGCTGCGGCGGCGACTTTGCCGTCGGCGCTGGCTGCATAAAAAGTCCATCGCCGTGGCCTCCTGCCGCGCCGCCTCCCCTCCTGCGCCTACCACTTCGCCTCCCGTGCCGGCCTTCGGTCTTCCTCGCGGCTCAGTAAGTTATACGCCCTTTGGCCTGCCGTTTCTCGTCGAGCTCGGGGAACGAGTTTTCGGCGATACGTCACTGCCGGCCACGTTCGGGCAGCCACGCTCCCAGGCGCTAACCCAGGATTATATTGCCGTGCCACAGCCCACTTCCCTTTACGCTGCAATCTTCAACCATCGCCCACCCACACTTACAACACGCACCCGACCAACGCACCCGCTTCCACCACAACACCGACATCGCACATCATGGCTCTCAAGCGCATTAACAAGGAACTCACTGATCTCGGCCGGTACGTATCCGCCCCCGCGTTCGTCAGCCGCCGCGCGCTCGCATGACAACTTTGCGGGTGCGGGGCTGCCAGCGACCAACACCAGCCGCCAGCCCCCAGACTCCATCGTCCGGCCCCGTGCTAACAGCTATCCCGCAGTGATCCTCCCTCCTCGTGCTCTGCCGGCCCCATCGGCGATGACCTGGTACGCTTTTCCCCCGCCTCACATGGCCGACCGCCTAGACGCAGCCCGCGGCTGCGGCGGCTGTCCACATCGCCGCCCGCACCGGGTCGGGCTGCATCGAGAAGACAATACTGACGGGTGTCTGACAAAAGTTCCACTGGCAAGCGACTATCATGGGCCCCGTAAGTTGCTCCCTACTCCTGGCGGCAGGAGGCGCGGCCAAGGGGCCGAGCCTCTAGCACGCCGCCGCTGAAGCCACATGCACCAGTTCTGTCGCTGACTCTGGGACGACAGGGTGACTCCCCTTACTCCGGCGGCGTCTTCTTCCTTGCTATCCACTTCCCTACCGACTACCCCTTCAAGCCCCCGAAGGTCAACTTCACCACCCGCATCTACCACCCCAACATCAACTCCAACGGCAGCATCTGCCTGGACATCCTGAGGGACCAGTGGAGCCCGGCCTTGACCATCTCGAAGGGTATGTGATTCCATCCCGCCCACGCGCCAGCATCTACTGACATGACTCCAGTGTTGCTGTCCATCTGCTCGATGCTTACAGACCCCAACCCCGACGACCCGCTTGTCCCGGAGATCGCACACGTGTACAAGACCGACCGCGCCAGGTACGAGGCGACGGCGCGCGAGTGGACTCGAAAGTACGCCATCTAGCCGATTCTCCTGCATGGCTTTAGGTGTCCTCGGTTTTCTTTCTTCACGGCTTGCTTGCTTGGGAGGTTTAGGGTGATGGCATGGATAAGAAGTCTATAACTCCGTGAGGAACGGCCTGCTAGCGCTTATCGAAGGAGTGCTCCCCCAAAATCACTCACAACTCATGTCTCCTTTTCTCCTCTTTGTTTGGGTCGAGTCGACACTTCATGATGCATATCCGGCCTTTTTGACGAAACGGGAGTATTAGGAATTCAGGGCTTCTTCCAGTTTGCATGCGAGATTCAAATTCAGAGACATTGCGTGGAACCTATTTCTTCGTTTCCTACTTCTTCCTCAGGGTCCGTTTCCTTTCCGTCTTCTTTGCGGTTCATCTTTTCATAGACGACACGTGATTCACTCCTTGCTCGAACCCGAGTTTGTGGATCTGCCTTTTGTAAGCCCAGCTCTTTGATTATGATTACACTGCTTCCGCAGCCCTGCCCCGACGACAGCCAATCATACATACCGATGGAATACGACAACGATATGGCTATTCTGGGCAGCCCAGTCAGACTAGGATGGAGCTTTCGATGCCAAAAGTGAAGTAGGCAGCGTCACGACTTGCCTGTCTGCAAGCTGCGCCGTAACACCCATGCCTTTGACGCTGCAAGGATGAAGCTCCTTGTGCTCCATCACCCCGGTCGTAAGAAAGGGGAAAAGCAAATGTCGACGGTCGACGCTCCGGTGCGCTTGAAGTGTAAGACTGACCCGACCACCAGGCTGCTTTCCAAAGATGAATCAACGGTTTTCTCGTTGAAAAGTGCTCGATGATTGCCCATGCCTTGTTCCCTGGCGGCCTCCCCATGGATCTGGAAGTTGGCGATGATCGGCGAGATTCTTACTCGGCTCTCGAGGACGTCGGTCGGATAGAAACTTGCATGAATGCTCGGGCAGATCATACTCGCGTGTAGTACGTGCAAGGGCGTCATCGTCGTATCTCGACATGTCGGACTAATGAGAATCTTTTCTCGCCAGTGGCTCGGCGATGATTATTGCCTCTAGGAGTGCAGGATGCAGCTGTCTGTGGTTCTCTCGACCACGAAGCGTCAGCGCCTACCTACCTACCTTTTTTCTCGTCAGCTGATGTTCGCTACCAAGCGCTTCCTTCTCTTCTTCCTTCCCGGCAACGTGGGCCGGACGTCTGAAGCCATTCGAGATAACGGCCACTGTTGTCGTGTCGCGCGGCCGTGCCTTATCCCCGCTCCTTCTCGGGTCGGCTCGTGCCTCTTTTAGAAGCGTGTGTGTGTGTGCCATGTTCAGCGAGATGATGGGCTTCGAGCACGCGAGTGTCTGCTTGTCATGATCCCCCTGCTCTGCTCATGGCCAGCCTGCCTGCAAAAGCGCGCGATCCGGCCAGATCCGTACGCGTGGTTCTATGCACCCTACGTACTCGCGTCCTCCCCGGGCCCGACGACAAGACTAAAGACAGGGTTTACGCGCGCGCAATAACGAGAAGGGAGGAGGGGTTCTGGCAGGCACAAGCTGATCTCTTCTCGATCGCCGCCGACCTGTTGGAACGCGCTCCGCAGGTGCGAATACTATGGTCGAATGCAATAGATGCACGTGTCACGCCAGAACCGGGATTGCCTGCTTCTGGGGACCGTCCGCATCTGGAGTTTTGACGAGCAGGGCGTTGCTCCTTGGCGCTTCTTCTTCTTCTTTCTTTCCACTCTTCTTTGTCCGTCGCTCTGACGGACGAGCAGGTGGATGGATGCCTTTTTTCTTTTTTGTTCCCGCTTTGTTCCTCGCAACGAAGATTAGTTATCGGAAGCTGCTGCCAATAATGATGTCGTGCAATATTGCTGGACGCTGGGGTTTGGCGATATTGCATGTGCCCTTGTTGGTGGCGCTGCAGCCTGCCTGGGCCTGCTGCTTGTCTGCCCGCAGCAGGGTGACAGAAAGCACGTTATCTCCCCGCTGCCGCTGCCGCTGCCTGTCATGGCTGTCAAGCCCTGCCCTGCCCCTCAGCGTCGCGCCTGATGACCCTCGGAAGCTCACCATACGTCATCGACAGGATCAACACCGCGGTTTAGCCTGCTCGGTCGCACTACCGACAGAGGGTGCGATGGAAGGAGGGGGGCTTGCTGGAAGGGGTTTTCCGTGCATTTGCCGACGGGGGTTTGTGCCACGATTTGAGAGGGCGGCGGGCGGCATTTGTGGCGCGCCTGATGAGTTGATGAGACCCTCTGCCCGTTTGCCTCACAAGAGGCGCACGGCCGGCCGGCAGCCGGGCGTTCATCGATCGCAAGTCCTTGTCCTTTCTCTCATTCGTCGACGAGTTTAGGGATTTTAGGTTCGTTCGCGCCGAACGGGGCGAGGGCTCCTGTTACTTCCGCCGCCGCATGTTGTTATTAGCAACCAACGAGTAAGTAATCAAATCTATCGGCAACGTCAAAACCGCGGCCGCGGCTGCTCTCTCTCTTACGTCCGCGACAAGCGCGTACGTAGGCGCACGCCCGGGGGCCGGCCATGCCGTTCCCGTTCGCTTCTTGCACCATCTGTAGCGGGACTGCGATATTGGAGAAAAAACGTACGATGTTCAGGCGTCTGGAGCCGCGCTAAGGGCGTTTGTGGCGCTGGCGCACTCCGTGATTTGAGCAGTTTCGAGGGTTGCCGTGCTTCCTCGCGACGGAGCTTTCTCCTCGAGTGCGAGCCCGACCGCGGGTGCGCACGCGGGCCCCGGGGAAGGGGGCGTTGCGTAAGCGCGAGAGCGGAGAGTGAGATCTCGGGCTATTCTTAACTCTCTGTGATCGTCGTCCTTTCCTGGCTCGATCTCGTTTTCTATTTCGCCTTCTTTCGTGCTTCTTGCTGCACTGTTCCGTCTTCGTCCCTCGTCCGCCCAATCTTCTCTTGTTTAGATATCCGGCCTGTTATCGTCTCAGAACCACTTCTCCAAAGCTACCGGCATCATGTTCCCGCCCCCAGAGTTGAAGGCCATTGCGAGGGAGGTTGCCGACTTGTTGAGGGAGAGAGGAGAGACGCTTTCCGTTGCTGAGACGGTACGAGTCCTCTGTGGTAGAACCCAAGTTGCTTCGTCTCTCTAACTGATTTCCGTAAAAGGCTGCGGGAGGTCTGACGTCGGCTGCCATTCTGGCCACGCCGGGAGCGAGTGCAATCTTCAAGGGCGGTCTGCAGGTATGCGCGCTTGCCTTTCCCATCCCCTTACATTCAATTCTATCGAACCTCAAAGCCCCTCCCTCGTGTACTTTTCGTGGACCTTTCTATCATCTCTTCATTTTTTTTTTTGGCCATCGTGTACCAAGAATCGCCGCCACTGCTCTCTCTCCTACCAACCAACCCAACCCAACCTTAACCTTTCTTCACAAACAGCTCTACACCCTCGAATCCCGCATCGCCTACGCCGGCTGGACCGAAGAGAACCTCAAGAACTACGCCGGCCCGACGCCCGAGATCGTCAGCGGCATGGCCAAGCACGTGCGCGGCACCCTCGCCACCACCTGGACCGTATGCGAGAGCGGCACCGCCGGTCCCACCGGCGGCGAGACGAAGAACAGGCAGCCGTAAGTACTACTCTCATCCTCTCCTTCACCTAAAACAAGTTCTTTCGCAGACTTCTCTCTTTCTTTTCTTTTCTTTCTCTCCCCCTCCTTTCCATTCCCTTTGGAGAGAGAGAGAAGACAGTCTGCGCTGCGCTACTTCTTGATTTTTTTTTTCTTTGCTCCCTTCCGGCAACTATCTCTGTTTCTCTTTCTTTCTCTCTCATGAGGACTACCCAGCTCTGTCACGCGAGGAAACGAACAAAAGAAAAACGGGAAACAGAATACTGATTATTACTCTCTCTCCCCCTCTTCAGTGGCTACGTCGCACTCGCCGTCAACTCGCCGGCCGGCACGGCGACCAGGGAGCTCGACACGGGGCTCGGCGGCGACAGGGAGGCCAACATGCAGAGGTTCGCCGTCGAAGGGCTGACGCTGCTGCGGGACGCGATCAAGGGGGACGTCAAGCTGTGAAGAAGGAAAAAAAAAGGGCTTGTTGAATGGATCATGTGGGGGGACGCTGACTGATTGATTGATGGATTGTTTGACGCCGGGCTGGCTGGCTGGACTATGGACGACTGATTTTCTTTGGACCGTATCGGGGAAGGTGAGGAGGGGGAAGGGAGAGATGGAAGAAGAGGCATGCTCTATGCGGGATTTTGAGACAGAGCACCGGTGATTGTTTGGAGGGGGGAGGGAGGGTGGTTTGGTGATGGGTGGTTGTGATATGGACGAACCACGCGGGCAGTTTGCACCAATAGGAAAAGTGGGAAATGGATATTGTGCCTGATATGTGAAGCTCGTCAGCGTCCGCATGCTCAAGATGGGGCGGTATACCATGCATGAAGACACGATACGCACAGGCGCCCGCGGTGCTTTGAAGTGTCGCTTAGGATGCCGTTCACATGTGCCGGACCGTCAGGCACGTCGGGCCGCCTCACAGAAGCAAACGGTTGCACAGTTCATGTGACCTTGGTCTAGGTTCCAGCGGATGTGCTGGCATCGGGCAAGTGGAAAGAAAAATTCGTGCGTGATGTGATATTGCTAGCTCCCCATCCCATAGCCCATAACAGAAACGCCCCAATATTTGAGTCTTTCGTAGCCAGAGTAACGCCCTCGCTCATCTCACGCAAAAAGAAAATGACCGTATTGAGGGGTATATGAAAACGAATCGGAAAGCAACGGAAACAGTTCAGGTCAGCGTTGCGGCACGGTGTTGGCAAAAGGCGCCCAGACTAGACCCAGGCAGCCGTGTGACCATGAAGCCGTTTTCTTTGTGCTAGCGGCCACAACGGGCAAGCTTCTGAGTCATTATGTCTCATAATTAGACTCCTTTGCAGCAGCCGGTCGTGAAGCTAGCCAGAAGCCAGTCACCTAGGCCGAACTCTACTCTAGGTACACACCCGCGTGCTTCGAAGGCAGACGCGTCGGCGACTAGTTATCGCCCGGAGTATGGTTGTGATGCTGCTGCTCGTCCGGATGAGGTGCGGCGGCGCCCTCGTGATCGTCGGGGCGGTGGTTCCAAGTGCTGCTGGGCGAGCACTGCGACGACTCGGGCGAGCCGTTCAGCGAGCTGGTCGGCGTGGTTTCGGGCGAGACGATGTAGAGGTCCTGGAACTGGTTGAAGAGCATGCGCTTGAACCAGACGCTGCGCGGCAGGCAGACGCTGGCCAGCCCGGACTTGCTGTTGGGGAAGTCCGAGTACGTGCTCTTCTCCTCGTCGTTCCAGAGGTCTTCGCGCTTCACTTCGACTCTACTGTCGCCGCGCGGGATGCGCTTGCGAGTGACGCGCAGGGAGGGATCTGTTTGCCGATGCGAGTAATGAGTGTCTGCGCCTATACAAATTGTGACGGAGTTGGTGCAACCTGCCTTTGTCCAAGGCCTTGCAGAGGTCTTCCTGCGACGACAGGTCCAGGCCAGTGCGATATTTGTAGACCAGAATGCTGGCGTTGTCCTTCTCGTCAAGGCCGAATTTCTCGGCGCTCCGAGTGGAGCTGGTGGAATCAGTGTTCCAAGTCCGCGACATTGTGGGGCGGGTTGGGCGTGGAGGATGCGATTTTGTGTTGGATGGAGCCGTGGTGACGTATTGTCGGGCGGGCGGTAGGCGGAAGGCGGTAGGCAGGAGGCGGGCTTATAATGACTGTAAAAATAATTCGGCTCGCGTGTGGAGTGACTCTGGGCTGGCCAGGAACAGGCAGGGCGTGGGATGTTCGGGAAGACAGAGGGTGGGCAGACGTGTTTGTGTAGAGTTGGGCTGGCTGCGCCCTGCGCGTGGTGGCACAGTGGCTCAGCGTTGGCTCAGCGTTGGCTCCGCGTCCCAGGATCGGCGTGCCCCAGACCGCACCTGCCAGGCTCGCTTCTGGCCGCACGCCCCGTCACGGCCAATGATCGGTCAGTGGCAAGCGGGCGGCGGTTGCACGGCGTGCCCGCGGGATCCCCAGGCTTGACTTCGCTCGACCTGCCTCCCTGCCTCCCTGCATAACCTCCGAGCGCGACGCCACACGCTGCCTGAGCCTGCTGACCCCGAGAGTCGTTTGATGCTGAGGATCATCGCGCCGGCCAATGGCCGTGCATCACGCGCTGCTGACGAGCGCCCACACCTCTGTCGCCAGCCCTGCCTAGCGCCGTCGCCCGCGATGCGGCACGCACAGTGCGAAGGAGCAAAAAGCTTGGTGACGGTGTGAAGAGCCGGGCCAGCAGCTCTCACCACCACGCCGGTTTGCGTCAGAACTCTATCAGGCATGCCGGGCCCCTGCCAGCGCGTGCACAGCCCAGGCTGACTGCTCTCCGCTGCTGCGAAATCAAGCCCAAGCCTACTAAGCCCATCAGCGGGCCGGCTCCGAGGCCGGCGCCACCCTTAATCGCGCAGCTCTCTGCCCGGCTATGACGCAGCGGCCAGGCACTCTTGAAGGCGGATGGTCGCTCGTGTTCCCCGGCTACCGCTTCTGTTGCGGCCACTTGATCGAAAAGTAGCAGATTCGCAGCCACACCCGCTCCCAGGGGCTGTTGCAGAGCAGGTGCATCATGCGCGGGCGACGGGGGCCCGCTGTTTAGTTTAATAAGACTAAGAGACGTCCCCCCCACAGCCAGCCTCCATCTTGCTTGCGACGAGTCCGTGTCCCATCGCCTTGCGTTCACCCAGAAACCGCCGTCCGATCAACGATCGCCAAAGCGCGCGCCGGCTACATATTCGACCGTCTTCCCAAACGCTCGCTGCTTGCCTCGAGAGAGAGAAAGAGAGAAAGAGAGCTCCACTGGCGTTGCGAGCTCCTTCTATTTTCTTCCCGCGTCTCGTTCCTGGACCTGCTCAGATCTCCCGCTGGAGCCTAGCTCTCCGCAGATTAGCGAGCTGCCCATCCTCCACCGTCCTAGCTTTTCCACCGAGTCATCTCTCCGACCAGCTCCCTGACCAACCGGATATTTGTTTGGCGTCGCGCGTGGACCCGGAACTTTGTGCTTGTCGTTCGGAGCCATGGCGGCGCTGAAAGTCGACACGGCAGGCACACCGCAGCGACCTCGCAGCGTGCGGACTGTTCGCACTTTTGCCTCCGCCGATGACGACGTTTCAAACGGCAGCGAATGGGCGCGTACTGTGAAGGATCCATGGGATCCTGCAATTCTTACGCTAGGTACGTGCGGTGCTTGGAATTGGAGCCTCTAGTTGGCCAGATGCACAAGAGAAGTCGATTTCCCACGCTTCGCCTTTTTATGGCAATCGACTCACATGGGGAGCTGAGTCCTCTGTCTCGACACGTTTGTACAGTCTGAACCTCACATATCCGTCCGGATGTTTTCTTGGACTGCCCACGGAGAGATGGTATTTAGCGCTAACACTGCGTTGCACAGATGGCGGCGGAATTCGCGGCTACTCGAGCCTCCTGATGGTCCAACAGCTCATGCACGAGATAGCAGAATGGGAGCGTAAGCTGGAAATGGAAGAGGCAGCAGAAGCAGCCACCCGGCGGAAAGATGGCACCTCCACGCCGCCATTCGAACCCCGTGAATTCAACGAGGACGAGCTGCTACCCGCGCACTACTTCGATTTCATGTACGGAACAAGTACAGGAGGTCTGATAGCAACGATGCTAGGCCGGTTACGCATGAGCGTACCGCAGTGCTTGGAGCTGTACCGGCAGGTATGTGTTTGTATCCGCCATATTGTTATGTGCACGCCGACTAACATTCAATAGGTTGGCAATGATCTCTTCGGTACACGTCGCAGCGTAGTACCTCTGACGACCAAGTATCGTCACAAGCCCTTGGAAGAAGCCGTCAAGGAGATTGTTAAACGCCACTGCAAGACGCATCCAAATGGCACTTGCGATGGGAACGATTGGTTTCCATGGGACGTTGAGGAAGAAGAAGATCAAATCAATTCTCTGGTACTACGTCCCGGAGAGCAAATATGCCACTCGTAAGTCCCTCTCAAGCTACCGTCGGCAGTCGAAGTGATGATCTGAATGCGTATGCCTTCAATTCTTTACGAGATTAAAGTTCGAACTGCCGCTTCGACGTCCCGTGTGTGACGGCTCTTTGTTGCGTACGATCTAACGTATAATGTTAGAATCTGCCTTACCGCAACACACAATGAGCGTGTGAACGAGGCGCATCTCTTGCGCACTTACAACCACCGATACGTTAATATTCCCAACTATATCACCCTCTACAACGAAGGCGCAGACAAGCTCAGGATCTGGGAAGTCACTCGTGCCACGTCGGCGGCGCCCTTCTACTTCAAGATCCTGGAGGCCGACATCCGCGGCGAGATGATGGGGTTCAAGGATGGCGGGATCCGTGAGAACAACCCGGCGGGCGCGGCGTGGTCCGAATTCGTGTCACTGTACGGCGAGCACCGCGACCCAGCGTTGCTGCTATCGCTCGGCACGGGGCGACCGGACGAGAGCGCGGACGGTTTCGCGAGTGCATGGCCAGGGCCGTTTGGCAACAGCCGGGCGATGAAGAAGGTGGCGGAGAAGTTCGCCGTGTTCAAGAACGTGCTGATCAAGTACACCGAGGGCGAGGAGCAGCACCGCGCCATGGTGCGCATCGCCAAGGGCGAGAACACGTGGTACAAGCGACTCAACGTCGACAAGGGGCTGGAGAAGATGAAGCTAGACAACTGGGAGAAGGGCGCGTGGGGCGGCCCGGGGGCCTTTGCGGCGGCGGCGGCGACGGCCACGGCCGTGGCGACGGCCCCGGCGACCAAGACGACGACGGCCATCGCCTCGTCCTCGGCGCCAGCCATCCTGGCCAGCTCCACGGCCGCGGCGCTTCGCGACCAGCGCGTGCCGCGCGCGGACACGGGGACGGACCGGAGGCGCTTGAACTTTGAAATCCCCATCACCATCAAGTCCAGCGTCGACGGCGTCGACGACGTCATCGACGAGGACCCAATGTCCTCCGGAACGCTTCCATCCACATCGTACGACAGCCTCTCCAACAGCAACAACACCGCCGCGGCCACCGCATCAAATAGCCAGCAAGACCAGCAGAACTCATCCCAAAAAGACAAAGACGCCGCCCCATCAGCCAACAAGAACAACAAAACCAAAAACACCAAAAAGCCAAAGAAACAACAGCAACCCAAACCCAAGCCCAAGCCCAAGCCCGTCCCCGGCGGCCGCACGCTCACCGCCATGGAAGACGCCACGGCCGCGTACCTCCACCGCCCCTTCGACCACAAGTACGACACGTACGCGCCGCCCATGGTGAAAGTGCGGCAGGCGGCCGAGAAGCTCGTGCGCCAGCGCCGCGCGCGCGAGCGCGCCGCCCACGAGGACCCCATGCGCTGGGACACGTACATGGGGCGGTGGCTGACGGGCAGCTATGCGGACGAGGCGGATGGGGTGGTGAGGTGGAAGGATGGTGGTGGTGGTGGTGAGGGGGGGATTGGGGGGAGGATGAGCTTGAGGAGCTTGAGGAGTGTGGGAGGGAAGGGGGAGGGGGCGAGGAGGGGGAGTGGGGAGGAGGAGGGGGAGGGGGAGGGGGAGAGGCAGGGTGGTGGGGATGCTGCTGCTGCTGCTCAAGCGTCGGGAGAGCGGCTGGTCGGAGATCAGGGGAGTGGGAAAGGCAGGTAGGAGGGCGAGGTGGGTGGCGTGGCGTGAGATCATCAAGTGTGTGTGGGAGAGCTTTGTGATACCCCCAGATTTCTTTCTGTTTCTGGTTTCGTTTCGTTTCGTTCCTTTTTTGTTGTGGCATTCATGCATTCGGCTGTCCAGATTGTACGGCAGCTTTTTTTTTTTTTGCGAGATGAAGCATTTGCATGGAGTCCGTTATGCATTTTCCCTCTTCATTCTTATTTTACCGAAAGCCCTGATCATGTCCATATGGAGGGTGGATGAAGATCGCGCGTCATTTGTACAATAGCCATCATTTTTCTTGCAGCATGGCCATTATTTCGAGCAGGATTTCGTGCAGAATGAGGGATATAAACGGCGAAAAAAGCGCTCTTGAAGGGCGCGAGAACCTTAGACCAAAAAAAAACGAGGGTGTCATGAGGGAAGTTTTAGCATGCTTCCTGCGCGCAAATAAGAGACGGAAATAAAAGTAGATTGAGTTTTTGAGTTTGGATCCATCAACGGCCCACCATCATCACCACCTTCCCGATTCAGACAAAGTGGTGCCACGCTAACGGCGCGTCTAAACACCCTACGCCGCGGCATGTGCTCACGTCACGCTGGAAGACGACGAAAAAAAAAAATTGACCCCACGTACACGGGGCAGCGGAATCTTATATCTGGATGCTTTTGTGTCCGGATGTATGCTCCAGCTGCCAGGAAAGATGGTTTGAACCTACGTCTACGTCGGTATACCTGCTCCAACTACCCACTAAGAGGATTGCCGTAGTAATTTTCTTTCGTCACACAGTGTGACGTCGGTAATGTGATGTTGGTACCTCCTGTCCTCCATCCATAAGTAGAGTTGGTTCGTAATAAATGTAAGCGGCTCATTACGCTACTAAGTAAGCGCCTTGGCTGGGACCGATGTTTGTCAAGCGCAACGTGGCGAGCACGCTTGGTTAAGTCAAGAGTTTTGTTTGTAGGAGGGGAGATGGCAAGTGATTCGTCCGTTGGCCCTTTGGTAAATCATTCCGGGCGGGGAGATTACGGCGGAGGCTGCGGCAAGTCACATCAGGGTTCATGATCCAGCACAGCTTACGGTATATTATTGCAGCAGATATATTGTATGTACAACTTTACCGTATGCGAAAGTGGGGTAAACCTGTTGCATCTGGGGTTTATCTGCGGAGTAATTGCTAGGGCGCCGGTCAGCTTCCCCGTTGCCCTGCCGTCTGAAAGCGCGATGACGGAGTCCTCTCCCGGCCGAGCGACGGAGCAGGGAGTGCTTCTCCAATCATAGGGTATCGATATCGTTCGTTTGACGCAACGAGTGTCACAGCCGGGGAGACGGAGGTTCTCGGGCGCTGGCGGGCCCGAAGCCCGGGTCCCGTCTAGGTCGGGCCTGGAATTGGCGCGAGACCCGAGGCCGAGGCCGAGCGCATGCTTGAAATGACCGACGTCCAACACCACTTCGGACGACGAACCGGTGGTTGAAGGCTCCGATCTTCACAGGGAAACGGTCAGCCTGCAGCAGGAGAGGGGGGCGGGGCACCACGTATAGCCGGCCTATAAGATTGAGCCGGATTCCAACCACGGTCCTTAGTTTTCGACGAACGGCATAACTCACTTTCTCCCACAACAGCAGCATCTCCAACAAGTTGATAATCATCATGGCGCCTAACAGCGCTGTGCTGGCCGTGCTCTTTGCCGTTGCCATCTGGGCCCTGCAGGTACGTCAAGACAGCCATTCACCTCGTTGCCATCCTGTCAGCAATATATAGCAGCAAGCTCACGTAACATAACCTACCCCACAGACCATCACAAAGGGCCTCACCGGCCCCCTCCGCCACATCCCCGGCCCGTGGTACGCGCGCTTCACCAACCTCCCGCTCAAATGGGCGACCGTCACGGGGCGGCGCGTCTTCCACGTCGACGCGCTGCACCGGCGGTACGGGCCCATGGTGCGCATCGCGCCCGGCGAGGTCGCGTGCAGCTCGCCCGAGACGTTCCGCGACATCCACCGCATCGGGCGCGGCGGCTTCCGCAAGGGCTGCTGGTACAGGGCCTTCACCGGCTACGGCGCCGACGACGACGAGCAGTGCACCATGTTCACCATGCTCGACCCGGTGCCGCACGCGCGCCGGCGGAAGATTATGGCGAGGGCTTTCAGCAAGAGCGAGATCAGGAGGCATTGGGAGAGGGAGATGAGGCGGAAGGTGGTGGATGCGGTGGGGCGGATGGAGGGGGATGCCGCGAGCGGGGTGGGCGGGGAGGTGGATGTGATGAAGTGGTGGGTGTTGATGGCGTCGGACATTGCGTCGTTGATCGTGTTCGGGGAGAGCTTTGACAACCTGCACACCGGGGAGGTAAGCCAGTGTCCAATCCCAACGACCGTACGTGTGTATACGCCCGCTGACGTCGACGCGGGCAGAAAAACACCTACATCAAAGCCCTCGAAGCGTCCGGCCGGGCCTCGGGCATCAACGCGGAGCTGCCCCTCCTCAAGTACCTGCCCCTCCCCTCGGTGCGCCGCCTCTTCGCCATGCCGCAGACCACGCTCGACTGGGCCGCCAAGACCGTCGACAACAGCCGCAAGTCGGGCTCCGCCGGCGTCGGCAACATCTTCACCAGCATCCTCGCCGAGGCCGAGGCCGACCGCGCCTCCATCCCGGACATCGTCCTCACCCGCGAGGCCCGCAGCTTCATCCTCGCCGGCTCCGACACCACCGCCGTCACCCTCACCTTCCTCGTGTGGTGCGTGCTGGCGAGGCCGCGGCTGCACGGGGAGCTGGTGGAGGAGCTGGCGCGGGCGAAGGAGGAGGCGGCGGCGCTGGATGATGATGTTGTTGCGTTTTCGGACGAACGCCTCGAGCAGCTGCCGTTGCTGAACGCCGTCATCCGCGAGACGCTGCGGCTGTACGGCGCCGCGCCCGGCAGCTTGCCGCGCAACCCGCCGCCGGGCGGCGCGACGGTGGGCGGCGTCTTCATGCCCGACTGGGTCGTGCTGTCGACGCAGTCGTGGTCGCTGCATAGGGATCCGACGATTTGGGAGAGGCCGGAGGAGTGAGTGATTCATCTCCTTTTTTTTTTTCTTTTTTCTCCAACTGCATCACCACACCAATCCCGCTGCCTCCCTTCACGTACGTGGAATGCGGCTGACGAGATGTGTAGGTTCGACGCCACTCGCTGGCTCAAAGAAGGCGGCCTCTCGGACGAGGCTAGGGCCGCGTACAACCCGTTCGGCGGCGGCGCCAGGGCGTGCATTGGCATGCACATCGCCGAGATGGAGCTGCGGTGCGCCGTCGCGACCTTCTTCTCGCGCTATCCGAAGGCGCGGCTGGCGCCCGGCACGACGGATGAGAGCATGGTGCCCGAGTATTTCTTCATCATCAACCCGTCGGCGCATGAGTGTAGGGTTGTTTTGTCGTGAGGGAGGTCACCGATGCGAGGCAGACTTGGATAAGTAAGGCTGTCAGCTCAGGCCTGGGTGGCGTCTGTACTTGCCTCACACAACAAGGGACTGCGTTTCGCGAATTGGCTGCATTTGTGTCGCAACGATAATTCCAAAAGTCGGAGGAAGCAGCAATGTTTCGCGAGACATGGGCTCGCGGGTTGGGCGGGCGACAAAATTTCCAAGTGCGCAACATCCGTTCCATTCGTGGCAGGTACCATCGGCGTGGAACAGCGCCTTCCCAAATGAGTAGCGGTCGCGCCCGTACAAGGCTTGCACGTATTTCACAACTCACCACCCAGTCTTTCAGATCCTACCGCGCGACATTAACCTGCTGAACACCCACGCGACATGCCACCAGGTCTAGCCTAACACCCTCACTTTGTCATTGTCCTACTGCATCGGCATACCACCCAACCCACGCCCCGGAAGTCATGCAGATCAAGATCAGCCGACTCGTTCGAATATTCATACTCGCGCAAGGTTATAAGAATGCCATAAAGGGCGTGGACGTCGATATCTTAGAACAAGAGCTTTTTCCGGTCAATCGCAGAAAGAAAGGTACAGACAGAGCATGGATTGACTTATCAGACGACGAGATGGAACAGTTTTTGAGGCTTGAGGATGAGTTGAAGCGCATTCGGGGAGAAAGAGGTCCTACTTATAAGGAGCAATTAGACCTAGAAAAGAGGCTAGATGCAGGATTGGAGCCTGCAACCCCCGACCTTTTCCAAGCCGTCAAAGCTGAAGCGGCGGACTTGGGAGTGCCCTTGAGCGATGAGGCCGCTCAAGACTTCTTGCATATCAACGCAGCGCGTCCTTCGCGCAAAGGCTGGAGCAAGATACCGAAGAAGAGCGAGGCGGCTGGGAATGCATGGGATAAGGGCACAAAGGCAGGAGGGAAGGACCAGATCGCAGCTTCGACAGAAGTTCGGACATCGAACGCCACAGAAGCTGGACCTTCGAACTCCTCAGACCTTCAGCATCCACACAACTAGCTCAACTCATACATTCATGCCATCTCAACCTATGGAGGATTAACAAAAAGCACTCCACACACTCAGGCCGAGACCGTATGGTCTTCTACAACGACGCTTCTTCAAGCCCACTCACAAACAATAGCAGTTGACATTTCTTTTTTCTCTTAGAAGAAAATAAAAAGAGGAACCTTAAGGGTCAATGAGGGCCCGCTGGAGCAAGAGAAAGTCCATGTGCTATGGGATAGGAATAAGGGGAACGTCTCTACGACCCGTCTTTTCATATTTCCGTACCTAATGGAGACCCAAATCTCAACAAACCAACATGTAGTGCGCTCGCTGCGGGGATCGTTGTCCGGGGAAAGTTGTACTTCACTGGCCAGATTGTCGATGGCTTTATAGCTCATATCTGTCTTTTCATACAACAACCGCAGCTCAACCAACTCTTTCTTTCTTCTCCATGACGAACCGCTGGGGATGGACGAGGAGGAAGCAGCAAAGGCCCTCCGCAACGCCGCCATCGGATCTCCGTGCCACGGAGCCGGGCCTCCAATCTGGCCCAGTATGGGCGCAGCGCCGGCGACATTGGGCAAGTAGTCAAAGAGAACGTATCGCTCGTACATGCCGCCGACAGAGTCTTCATCAACGAGACCATTTCTTGTGTGGTGCTCTAAGTAGTCGATGGCACTCGGAGCAATCCTAGCTACCGGAGCGCCCGTCAAGCGATACTTTTCTGTTCTGCGCTGGGCGTCGCGCTCCTCGTGCATACGAAAATAGGCGAGGCCGGCGGGGAAGAAGACGAAGCCCGGGTTGTTGTGGTCATCGAAGTTGCGGTGGCAAAGGGGGCATAGAGGGACGGCGTTTTTCAAGTCGGAAAGTGCGTCGATGGTGAGCAAGCCGGCGGACTTGTAGGCATCGAACTGGACGTCGCGTCTCGTGATGACATGGGCGGCATCGGCAGGTTTGGCGTTGCAATGCCAGCATGCATATGCCTCGCTCCGGTAAAGGTCAAAGAGTTGATCTCTGGTAGAAGCAGAAAAGGTGGCCACGTTGCGGGAGCTACGGGCGGAAGAGGCGGAAACATGGCGCTTGCGCTTGCGACCGAAGCTTTGCGAGGTTGCTAACGAGAGTGGCGGCATAGAATCAACTGTAGAGCTTGAACATGTAGCGTAGCTTGTATGAGAGCGCGCGGGCTCTGGATGGTGAGGTGGAGAGGCCATGGCTAATGGCGAGGTCAGATAAGGCGGCGATGAGGAAGGTAGACATAGTGTTGGTACCTACCACGTCTGGCAAGCAGGCAGGAACGGAGGATCTTAGGGGGTCACTTTAGGTCTAGCGTAACGGCGACGAGCACTAGCAACAGCGGCGAGTACTAGCAACGGCAGCGGCGAGCGTTCACTAACAACAACGGCGGCGGCGGCGGCGGCGGCGGTAAGTACTAGCAGCGGTAACGGCGAGCGAATACCTCCAGCAGCGGCGGCGGCAAGTACCAGCAGCGGCGGCGGCGAGCGTTCACCAACAATAGCGGCGGCGGCGAGCATCACCACCAGCAGCGACGGCGGCGGCAAGCACTAGCAGCGGCAACGGCGAGCGAATACCACCAGTAGTAATTACGATCTATAATTACTACCTCACCATATCATGAGTGACAAAGCCCCAGCTTCGCCGGTGGACCCTTTGATAGATTTTGCCTTCGCCAATCTATCAACAGCTCATGTTAGAGATATTGCAGGAGGGTCCCGCAGCGGTCATTATCAGATATTCAGTCTTCAAGAAAAAGTGTGTCTCCCTCGTACTAACGCTTTTGAAGCTGTTGGTCTGCCCTCCCAGATACTGCTCCTCCAATGCCGGCGTCCTGTTCGCTTGATGAAATTGTTGTCGATGTCCAGGTTCAGGAACTTCAATACTTTGTCAAAGTGGTGGGAACTCCTAATGAACTAACAGACAGCCGAAGCTCAATCCTCACCCGACTCCATCTCCTCAAGCCCCCCGTCCTCTGAAAGGTCCTCCCACTCCAGCGCCGCAAACCCACCCTGAGCAGAACACACACTCGGCAACTGCACCACCTCCGCACCCTCCATCCCACAATCCTCAAACAACCGCCAAACCGACAGCGTCGAGCACGGCGCCGTAACAAGCAACTTGACCACAACCCCTCCCCCCCCCTCCCCGCCCCCCTCCCCGTCCTCCTCCCCCCCACCCATCTCCAACAAACACCCCAACGCCACCTTCAACTCCGCCCTCCTCTCATCATCCTCATACGCATCCACCCCATCCACAACGACAAACACCACCGTCCCCCCCGGCAGCTGCCCCACCGCCGCCCTCCACACCGCCCCGATGCTCCCCACGTCCGCCGCGTCCAGCCCCCGCAGCTCCTCCCGCATCCGCCCCGACCGCAGCCGCACCCCGCGCCCCCGCGCCTGCTCGATCAGCTGCAGCAACAGCGTCAGCATCATCCCCGGCGCGTGCGCGTTCGGATCGCGCGCGCCGTCCACGTGCCTGCCGCAGAAGAAGGCGAGGGGGATGACGCTGGCGCTGGCGCTGCCCGCGCCCGCGCCCGTCGGCCCGGCGTGCCGCGACACGAGGTCGAAGAGGCGCGCGGCCACGAAGGAGGTGGCGGCGCCGCCGGCGGAGGTGCCTTCTTGCGAGCAGCCGTGGACGAGGAGCCGGCGCGGGGCGAGGGTGGTGGTGAGGGATTGGAAGGAGGGGTCGTGCAGGAGGGCGACGGCGCGCGATTGCTCGGGCTTGGAGAGCGTGTAGCGCAGCTGGAGGAGGGCGTGGCAGTCGGTCGTGATGAGGGTGTGGTCGTGGGCGTAGGTTTGGAGGAGCGTTTCGGCTTCGGCGCGGGGGTGCGGGTGGCGGTGGCGGCGGCGGTGGGGGCGGGAACTGCGGTCGGGTTTGGAGTCTGGGGCTGGGATGGGGGGTGAGGCTTAGTGAGAGTGTGTGTGGGAGGGTGCGTGCGTGCGTACCTGAGGCTTGTGCTGGGTCGTCCTTGATGAAGAGGAAGACGTAATTGAGGATGGTCTTCTGCTCTTGCCGCTTGAGCTGGCCCTGTTCAAATCTTGCTTGGGCTTTTCTCATCTCCCTTACGTCTCTCAAGCCGCAGATTTTGGCCATGGTTTTGAAATCTCTGGCGTTCTGTTCCATTGTTCGGATCTTCTCAAGGACTTTCTCTTTGTAGTCCGCCGGCTTCATGAGCGCTTTGACTGTCTTTTCTTGATTTGGCTACTTGATTAATTGAGGTTGTTCGACGGCTGGCTTGCACGGAGAGACTTACTTCCTGGTGATGTTTTGACCCAGTCGATGAATTCATGCATGACGTGTAGGATCGATACGCAGAGGCCCGCATTCAATCTGTGTAACTCAAGGTTTTCGGAGAATATTTCCATGATCTTACCCTTGTTTTGCAAGATAGCTACGAGCTCTTGGAGGAATTGAGAGAGGGCTTCACGGATTTCCGACATTCGTTTGCCTACCTAACAAGTGTCAGCAACCGAGAAATCTAGCATGGGGTCCGAAGAGCACGTACAGCGCAAAGGAAGGTCAGCCCGCCGCAGAGGACAGAGAGGTAAGATTCCTGAGATGGGATCAATGCAGTGAAGACCTTCAGGTTGCTGGAATTGCTGCTGAATGCGCGGAATCCTCTCCTTATGTGGCCCAGAAATCCTTTGAGAGCAGTGGTCTTGTACTCCTTCTCTTCCAAACGAATCGTTTCGGCGAATTCCGCGAGAGCGTTGTCTACATCCTCATAGCTGTGCGTTTGGCTGAGATCTGTGAGCCTCTTGCCACTTTCAAGCTGGTGCTTTTCCATTTGCTGCCTCAAGCTTTTTTCTGTTTCTCGGCATTGAGCGTAGGTATCGTTGAGGTCATCTTGGGAGCTGCGAGAGGTCAGCATCTCATTTTCAGCCCGTGCAGATGCTTACGCACATGGGCTCGAGGAAGTGGGAATCAGGCTCAGCCGGATTGTTGCGTTGCGAATCGTCCGAAGCACTCTGTGTGGGCTGTTGTGGTTCGATGATAGAGTTGGGATGATCGAAGATGAGTTGGCCAGAGTCCGTATCCAGACCAACTACTGTGACAGCGGACTTCTCGCTTGAATCCAAGGCAGGATGAATGCCCCCAGTAAGTCTTTGGATGAAGGAAATTATGTCGTCCGTGTGGTCTCGTGCGGTGGCTCGACGCTTTAAGGTGCCAGGACCGATTTCGGGCATGATGAGTGCTATTCGTCAAGCTTATGCTACGAAGCTGTAGGCGTTTCGAAGAAAGAGGAGGAAAAGATTTAAGAGCGCGAGGCTGAAGATTGCGGCAATCAAGTGGCAACCTGACTGACTAATTGCACGGGAGAGTGGAAGGCTAGAGTTCCCAACACATGTCAAGATGCAGGTCGCAAGGAGCAAAACAGTATTTTACACGTGTAATGGGGGCTTCTACTTCAGTAAGTCGCGGCGCAAAGGAGGCGTTCAGGGCTTATCGTTGGCCAATGACTGGGAGGGTTTCGCGCAGCAAACAAGGCTGGGCCACCACACTGATGTTGTTCTCGGCCCTAACTCCACATTGCACATACCGGAAATGTGCTGCGGGCTGCATGACTGCTGCCTTGGTGTCAGCTTCAGTCGTGCGGGCACCAGTGATTGAAGGGAGGGCGCCGCCGGGTTGAGTGAGCGTGGCGCACTCGAATGCACACCACTCTCGATTCATAGCATTGTGACTCTTACTCCACCTACTAGCGAGTTTCCTTGCAGCTTGAGCTGAGTATAGTCGCGCTTAAATACGCGGAGTATGCGCTTTCAGCAACTTTCATCCGTACACTGTTCGTATCACTGAAAATGGCTGGCGATGAGGATCGAAGCGAAGGCGGGCCTGTCCTCGCCGAAGGGTCCATCTCTGAGGACACAACTACAAGCGCTACCCAGAGTTCCTCCAAGTGGAAAGAAGCGGATGATGCGAGCGAAGAACAAGAAGCACCAACGACTGGGAGCCAGAATCCCGACGAAGGAGGGAATCTGGAGAGTGACGGAGCCGCGCCCGCTTGGTTCACTCCGTATTTGAACCGTCTTGCGCAACTCGAAAAGGCGGCAGACGATCGGACGAAAAGGTCAGCCTTGCGCAACCACGTCTCATTTGTCGGCTTTGGCTGATCGGAAACAGCACAAGCAACACGCCCAGCACTAGCAACAATGACAGAGAGCTCAGCCTTGAAGTCAAACGGCTTTCAATGGAGAAGTGGCAGCCAGGGAGAGGGTTCGACCGCAACGAGATCCGTTCGAATGTCTTGGTCGTCTACTACAAGACGGTCATCAAGATGAGTGCCACGGATAAGTCATCCAACACTTCTGAATTGCTCGAAGTTCCTCAAAGAGTGCAAATCAACTCGAGGCCATTGCTTGCAGAGCTTGAGTTCATGACCGGCACGACGATGGCAAGAACTCCGTGTGTGATGATACCACCGTTCAAGGTATTCGTCACGTACAGAGACAAGATTGCAGAAGAGCTCAAGGCAAAGAAGGCATCCATCAGCCAGTGGGAGACAGACATGGAGAAGGAATCACGGCTCATCGGTCCGAGGGACGCCAGAGCAGAGGAAGAGAAGAAGAGAGAAAAGCTTGCGATGGAGCACCTTGAGTGTCTCCTCACTTGGATCGATGAGGACTTGGCTGGTGCTCTTGAGCTGAGAAAGCAGGTGCAAAGCCGAACGCTCAAGAGGATCAGCTACGAGAATCTTTGGCACCTGTTCCGCGTCGGCGATATGGTGTTCAACAATGAAGAAGCGTTGAAAGGCCGCGATATGGACTGGCTCACATACCCCCGTGCATATCGCGTCTATCAGATTGCTGGGGGAAGACCGTCAATTGGTGGAACGCGAAGGGTTAGCCAATTGGACACGAGCCCGGCACCCACCAGCACCGACAAAGGACCGGAGAAAAGGGACGGCAACCAGGATGAGTTCAAGATACCGTTCAGAGTCGGCTTGCACTGCACCGACTACGATGGCTCGTACTTCAGCCCATACTTCGGCGCAGCCACTTTCACCTTCCGAGACTTCAAGGGCGAGAAACCGATCATGGAGCTTGAATTCTACCCTGCCGACTTCGATCCGAACTATGCTACCCGCCGCCAATATTTGATTGATCGTGGCAGAAAATTCTTGGAACTGCTTCAACCATCCCACAGATACTACAACGGGCTCACGCTCAACGAGGATCCGGAAGACATCGATGGAGAAGTGGTTGTTGATCCCCGAACTTGCGTGGAGATGGAGCCTGAAAACATGGTCTTTGATGATGAAGGTCTATCCCGGATTAAATTCAGCAACCAATCCGCCGAGTTTTACGAAGCCACGGGCTGTGGAGATGAGAGCTGCTCGGGATGCACAAACAACTGGGATGACAACCTTCTTGAATACAAATACTACGACGATTACCTCCCAGAGGAGCATGGATTGCAGACCATATGGGCTTCAGACGCGAAAAGCAAGATCACGGACGAACATCTCGTATACATGCCGAGAGATATTCCGGGCTTCGTCCTCAGGACTAGAACTTGGAGTAAGTCTAAGGACCCATAATCCGGGAACATGAGTCACTAACGTTATGGGCAACAGAGTGGCTCGATATTGAGCTCATCAAGCGCGTCGAAGAGCAGGAACAAGAGGAGAGACTAGGGTTCGAAGAGCTTGTGATCAATCAAAAGCACAAAGACATGGTCCTTGCTTTGGTCCGGAGCCACCATTCGGGCCCTCGTGCGGAGGCCGGTGGTTCCATGGATCTGGTAAGGGGCAAAGGCCGAGGCCTCATCATCCTGCTCCACGGAGCTCCAGGAGTAGGAAAGACTTCGACGGCGGAGACGGTCGCTGCATACACCAAGCGACCACTTTACCCCATCACCTGCGGCGATATAGGAGAGAAGGCGGACCAGGTGGAGAAGACGCTGGAGAAGCATTTCCAGCTCGCCCACAAGTGGGGATGCGTCCTTCTGCTCGACGAAGCAGACGTCTTTTTGGCGAAAAGAACAGAGGGGGATGTCCAGCGCAATGCACTCGTCTCAGGTAAAGCATCCGCACCGTGGGCCATTGCATCTCTTCCGTTTTCGAGTGCTAACCGTTCGCTTTTAGTGTTCCTCAGAACGCTGGAGTACTACTCCGGGATCCTATTCTTGACGACGAACCGGCTGGGCGTCATCGACGAGGCCTTCCACTCTCGCATCAAAATGTCCTTCTTCTACGACAATCTGAACTGGGAAAGAAGCCGCAAGATCTGGCGAAACTGCCTCAACAAGATCAAGCGGGCCAACGACAAGGCGAGCAACACCGACGACCAGCTCATGGTCGAGTGCGTCGACGAGGACGCCATCCTGGACTTCGCCCACGCGCACTTTGAGGCGAACAGACGGCTCAGCCAATGGAACGGACGGCAGATCCGAAACGCTTTCCAGACGGCCATCGCACTGGCCCGCTACGACCTGCACGCAAAAGCGGACAAGAGAATGGCAGCAGGGAAGCTCAGCAAAGAGGATGCCGAAAGGAAGGAGAAGTGGCGGACGGTAAAGCTCACGGCGGAGCATTTCGAAAAGGTTGCCGAGGTGACGACCGAGTACCATAAGTATGTCAAGAGGATGCAGAAAGGAAAGACGCCAGAGCAGCTGGCCGTTCTATCGCAGCTACGCGCTACCGGCGAGGAGTCCGAGACGGCCACGCCCACTCTGAGCGGCAGACCCAGGCTTTTTCGCCAGGCTGTCAGTACGGAGGAAATGCCAGGAAAGGGGAGGATGAAGAAAAAAATGGTAGCTCAGCAGCCGGGCTCGGTCTCGGATTCCGAGGAGCGGCGTCCGCCGGAGCCCGCGAAGAAGAAGAACGGTAAGCAGCCGGACTCGGAAAGCAACAGTAGTGGCGGCGTTAGCGATAGTGATGATGATTGATGGGAAAATTTGGTAAACAATCGAGCAATCGGGTCGTTATATAGGGCGGCGATTTCCTCAAGACAAAGCCATCTCATCTGCAAACGAAAACGTCATCAAGTACATACCTAACACCCCCCCTTACTTCCACATCCAGCAACTACCTAGCCACTCCTCTCCACCCCCAAGCTCACTCACTGATCCAAATGCGCGCTCCTCTCCCTCCTCCGCGCCCTCACCACATACGGCTCCGCAAACAGATGAAAATCCGTCACCCAAACCGGCCCCCCGGGCTTCTTCTCCATCCCCTCCCCCCCTCCTCCCCCCACGACCTCAAAATCATAATTCAGCACCAAATGCGCCACCAACAACTTCAACTCATGCGCCGAAAAGAACCGCCCCGGACACGCATGCCTCCCCACCCCGAACCCCAACCACCTCTCCGACACATTCACCAGCCCCTCCCCCGCCCTCCCCACAAACCGCCCCGGCACAAACTCCCCGGGCCTCTCATAAAACCTCCCATCCCCATGCACCCCCGCCGTCGCCACCCCCACCTTCGTCCCCCGCGGCAACCGCACCGACCCACTCCCCCCCGGCATCACCACCCCCCCCTCGGCCACCACCTCCCTCTCCACCCCCCGCCCCTTAAACGGCGACACCCGCATCGACTCGCGCAACGCGCTATCCAGCAGCACCAGCCGCCCCACCGCTGCTTTCGTCCACCGCGCGTCAAACGACGACGACGACGACGACGACGAGTCGACAGCTGAGCCCGTGGCTGTGGCGCGCAACGCGTCCGCCGCTTCTGAGCGTAGCTCGGCCCAGAGCGATGGCCCGCCCCGCGTGAGGATGTCGGACAGCGCGGCGACGGCGGTCAGGTAGGACGTGTGGACCGCGACGAAGTTGAGGGCGAGCAGGCGCGCGGCGAGGCTGTGGGGGGAGCGGTCGCGCGGGGAGGGGGACTTGGCGGCGGCGCGGGCGAGGAGGGCGATGACGTCGGCGGTGCGTTCGTTGGCGGTGGTGGTGCTGGGGTTTGGCGGGTTGGTCGTTGTTGTTGTTGTTGTTTCGGTGGCTGTGGCGGCGGAGAGGCTGGCGGCGATGCGCGGGAGGAGGCGGGCCTCGTACCGGGCGGTGAGGCGGCGGAGGGGGGCGGCGAGGTGGGGGGCCAGGAGGGGTTTGAGGAGGGTGGGGCAGAGGGCGTCGATGAGGGAGGCGCGGCGGGGGAGGAGGGCGATGAAGGAGGCGACGGTGGTGGAGTAGGCGGGGGAGCGGGCGAGGCGCTTGCCGGCGAAGGCGCGGTTGGTGACGGCGAGGAGGATGTCGAAGAGGCTGGATTGGAGGGTGGTGGTGTGCCAGCGGTTGGGGGTGGCGCCGAAGGCGGCGGCGGTGCGGAAGTCGATTTCGTCCATCATGTCGGCCGTCATGGCGTCGAGGTTCATCTTGTTGAGCGCTTCGACGTGGAAGGCGCGGTCGAAGTCCCAGGCGCGCGGCGACGTGTAGTCGAAGCGCAGGTCGTCGATGAGGACCTTGTGGATGGAGAAGACGCTGTCGGGCTGGTCGACCATCCAGCGGACGTGCTCGGGCGGGATTATCACCTCGGGCTTCCACGTCACCTGCGGGCTCAGGAAGGGCTTGCCGAGCTTGCTGTACTGTTTGCGTGTCAGGTGCGTGGACATGGGGAGGAGGAGGAGTGGTGGAGAGTACCTTGTTGTAGCCTTCCATGATGTGATTGTGACCATTCCACCACTCCCGGATCTGGGCTCGGACTCTGCCAAACCATTCTCCATCACGTATGCCCACCCATGGCACTCCCTCAGGCTGGATCCGTTGGTATCTCGACAAGTGCCATTGGAGTAGGCAAAGTGTGGTTGCGAGTAACAAAGACGCACTGAGAAAGCCGGGTAAGGCACCAGCTCCCTTGCCGCCTCTGCTGCCATGAAGCGTCTCACTTGCGGGGCCTGCAGTTGAGTTCAAACTCTCCATGCTTGCAGTGCTGACAGGGACACTCGTGGTTGGAACGGGCTGGCAGTGCGAAGAAGACGTACTTGGATAAATGATATGTTCCGGGTGAAGGAAAATGCTGGCAGTTGGGTCTGCTTGTCATCCAGTCGGAACAATACGAGGTGAGAACAATACCAGGTTGGAACAATATTAATTTGAAACAATGATAGTACCTACTCAGACCTGGGCCGAGGTTTGAGTGACGTGGGCTTTCTGCCTTGCACGAGCTGTTTCTGTCGGTCAGCTTGCTTCTGGGACTAATGCTCCGCGTACCTTCCTAGTTCTGTCTACTTTTTGCCAGAGTTGTAGTGCACTTATTTACAAAATCTATTGTTCATCCAGCCAAGACTCAATCCTGCTACAGCAGGCCGGGCTTTTCGACCTCCACTGACGGTGAGGTGCGAACTTGGCAAGCGCTTAAGCCATGCTATCGCTGGTCGTATGGTGTCCATTTGATATATTGTGGGATTAACCCCATGACAAGCATGTTTACAACTGCGAGGTGAGGAGGCAACTAGGCTGAAAATGGCAATGTTGAAGCCCAAACGCTTTGTGGATGCGACAAAGAGATGGTCACCGCTAAAGGATGTACAACTCGCGGTTGAGAGTGAACGGGGGCACGGAGTAAAGGTGTGCAGACCGAAAAGAGAACCGTTGTGTGCCATCGCTTAAGTGACTGTGGTCTGACAACCAAGGCTTCTATTACCGGCATCACGGTGGCCGCTTGCGGCTTGGCTAAAATCTTGATCCTTTGAAAGCCACTACCATTGATTGCACAATATCAAGAACAATACTTCGCCAAGTGTTACAAAGTCGCTTGTGTCCATCATCCTCAGCGTTATTGCCGGGTCTTCCCAGGGCATGGACCGGACATGTTGCGCGCAGTGGCATCAACAAACTTGACGTATTCGGAGAGAGCAATCGTTGCCTGTCGCCGAAATGCAGATATTTTTCATCAAGAGAAAGTCCCGTCACAGAGAAGAAGAAAGACTTGCTGAAGCCACTTGACCGCTACCGTCCGACCTTCTTCTCGCGGGTGCAAGTAGACCTCAACACTGACGCATGATTTCACAAGAACGAAGAACGGCTTCTGTCAGATAAACTTCCTTTATTTTCTATTCCCAAGCCAAGCAACGCTGAAGTCGCTCAAGTCGCAATGCCCAACCCAACCATGCCGCAAAGTAAAAGGAAAGTAGTCTGTCGTCGCTTCCCATCATGAACCCATAAGACATTTACATTCCGCACCAAACAAAAAAACGCCCAACACAGTCACACTGCCCACCACCCCCTCAGTACCCTCCACCACCACCACTCGTCGGCTCAAAGCACTCCAACCACCCCTCCAACGCACTCGTAAAATACCCCCTCGCCTGCACCGCCACGTCCGTCTCCGCAAAATCATAACAATGCTGCGCATCGGGCAACAAAAACCCAAACAACTCCCCCCCTTCCTCCCCCCTCTCCCCACACGCCGGCGGCGTCTGCGTCAGCCAAGCCACGGGCGCACCATCATCATCGCCATCATCATCATCGCTCAACGGGCTCAACGTCCTCCACGGATCGAACTCGCCGGCCGTCCAAAACGTGTTGCTCGGCCGCATGCCCCAGCCGCCCGTCAGCTCGTTGAGCGCGTCGGCGGCGGGCGCCGCGGGGAGGATGCCGGCGGCGGCGGCGAGGGGGAATTGCCGCTGGCAGAGGGAGAGCTGGTAGCTGACCGAGTTGTAGGCGGAGGTGAGCTGTTTGGGGCCCGTGTTGGCGGCGTGCAGGAAGCCCCATTGCGTGCAGTATTGCCAGGTCCAGCTGATGTCGTCGATGGAGGTGGCGAGGGAGAGGGTGGAGAGGTCGCAGGTTGGGTCGGAAGAGGAGGAGGAGGAGTTCGAGGAGGAGGGGGTTTGGGGAGACGCGATGCCCGCGTTCCCGGCGCAGTCGGTGCTGACGGTGGCGGCGAGCTGCGGCCACTCGGCCCACTTCTGGAGGACCCAGGCGGCGCCCATCTTGGGGGCCCAGCCGTGCTCGCCGGCGGTGAGGGTGGTGGTGCGGTTAGTGGTGGTGGCGTTGGCGGCGACGACGTCGCGCGTCTCGAGGTAGTCGCAGAAGCCGGCGATGGTGCCCTTAGGGCCGCTGGATTGCCAGCCGAACCAGAGGGTGGATAGGGCGTAGGCGAAGTCGCCGTTGGAGTTCTTGTCGGCGTTGGGGCCGAGGAACTGCTGCTTCACGGCCGCGGCCGACTCGTCGTCGGCGAGCAGCTCGTCCATGTGCAGCAGCGCGGCGCGCACGTCCTCGGTGCAGTTGCCGTAGCCGTAGCGGTGCATGCCGTCCCAGATGGGGTCGAAGTAGGACGACATGTTGACGCGGGCCTCGACGGGCGCGGACGCGGCGTAGGCGGCGTAGATGATTTCGGGGTAGAGCTCTCGCATCAGGGCGGCGCGGATGCCGGGGTACGAGCCGCCGACGAAGATCCAGGGCGTCGAGGATGGGGTGAGGTCGACGTCGGGGTAGGCGGGGTGGCTGAAGTTGGAGGCGAAGACGGCCACGTCGGCGAGCGCCTGCTCGACGCTGAGGAACTTCATGTCCTCGGGGTCGGTTTCGGTGGTGATGTTGAACGAGATGGACTCGCCGTAGTAGCGGTGCTCCCACGAGATGCCAATGCCGCCGAAGCTGTCAACCATGTCCTTGAACCACCCATAATCCACCCACGAGTAGTGGCCCGCTTGCTCGCCGTTGTCGAAGATGAAGACGGGCTTTCCGGCTCCCTCGTAGCCAGAGGCTGAGATCCAGTAGCGGTTGTCGAAAGTCCTCTCGTCTGAGCCGAAGTGGTCCAGCGGAAGCGTCACCCATTGGTCTACGCTGGTGTCTGACTCGTTGAGCTGGCGGGGAGGCAGAATCCCTCTGGAGCGGAGGTCGTCTTGCATTTTGTCAGTGCATGTGGTGTGGACATGATGGCCGTGCTGATGCTCACCCTTGTTTACCCGCTGCACTTGACCGTCAAACTTCTTGTGGTGCAGGCTCAAAGCGTTGGTGCATGTGGAAGCTGCCAACAGCAGCAAGCTCCACGTGAGGCCCGAGGTAGCAACCATAGTGGCGGTTGGTTATGATTTGGAAGTGGTGATGCGATGATGCTGGGGCCAGTGCAGAGCATGCGGCCATCTTTATAACACTACATCTTCCTATTCCTAACGTCCCCACTGCTTACAAGGCCATGTTCTTGCTTTCTCACCGCATGGCCTGAAATTGGGCGGAGCATAAGCGCTGCGGAGCTGGCACAGCCGCACGGGCTGCCAAGCGGGCAAGCCTCGTCGTACCTAGCGCTCCATACTCACTCACCACTGAAGTGAACAGCCGGAGAAGTGGCTCAGGACGAGGCAGCCTATCTGGCTGCTCGATCCCCTCTTTTGGACAAGTTGTTTGTACGCATGAGCAGGTCGACGCAGAGCGAGCATCGTGAAAGTGTTTTTTGTGCCAACAGGCCGGCCTGCTGCCATTCGCTACCCAAACCACCGTAGTGGCTTGGCTGCTTGCTCTCTGCATCCATCCCGCCCACCGCCCGGCCGGTGCCTTGCGTGGCGCTAACCGCAGCGTAGCGCCTGTTACACAGCCCGTCGCCAAGACAAGGCTTCAAGTGTAGAGAAGTGACTACTGCAGGTGTCGCCAATCCGAGAGGTCGGATTTGTTTGCCCATCATAGCCACCACCACTAGCTGCCTAGACGGGATGAGCCTCATCGACCGGCGCATCATGCTGCAGCCCGCAGGATCTGCGTCGGGCTGCACGGCTGCCCGCTGTTTTTAGAACGATCCGACACTAATTGCGGCCCCCATGGCCGCCTCGACGCCACAATCTGACCCGAGGGAGCGCCGGCTCCATTGCCACTTGCGACCTTTCAGCAATGCTTTCAGCTACGAGCCTTTCTGGGGCCAGAATATTCACTCTTCCGCCAATGTTGTGCGCATATGCTCGCTTGGCACCTCACTAAAGACATGTGATACAGCATACACGCCCGAGGCCGCCCTGTACTTTTACAGCTCTCAAGAATAGGCAAGACTTTTGAGTGGACCCATTATATGCAAGCGCACTTTAGGTCTGCCTTGCCTGGCTTCACCAATATTGAGCAGGCTTTTTTTGGGAGGTTCACAATGGATATTTCGGGCGGCTTCTTTCTTCAGACCTTTAACTTCAGGCTGAAGCTCTTCCTGCATGATGATGTCTACATGCTTTTCGTACGTCCGAATCGATACCATTGATCTCTTGCGGACTCATTGCTCATACGGGACAGAATCTCACATGCATGGAACCGAAAAATCTACCCCAGGCAACATCTTCACTTCAGTGGTTGCTTCGATTAAATTGATAGTGAACATTTCGCAAGTATTCAATTCTAGCCACTTCCATTGAGGACCCATGCTCCATAGATCAATCTCGGCAATAGTTTCACCCTCGCCGTCAACTGAAGGGCAATAGAACCGTGTCAGCAAGGGCCGTCTATACTTTCCGATTGGTTGTTCAAGCCATGGCCCAGTCATCCCTCAGTGTGTCTTTGTCTAGCTCAGTCTGCCAAGCAGGGCCTTTAGCTGCGATCTCGATAGGATATGTGGTTGATCTCCGCGTCTCCATCGACGCCATGCTAAGCGCCTGTTGAGAATGTTGCTGCAAATCACCATTGAGCATCCAAGGTGTCTGTTTCAGAGCTATTGAAGCTGACATTACTGGCGCGTTCCTGCTCATGTTTGGCTGCGACATGTTTGAGGATCTCGTGAAGCTGTGTTTACTCAACCACGCCGATTGTTCTGCCACGGGTACCTTCACCGGATTTTACAAACGAGAAGAATTCCTGGAAGAGTATAACAGAAATCGAGATTTGGATGTGGATAAGCTTCGGCTCTACAAAATAATACTCTGCGTTGCAATTGTGGTAAGCTGAAGCCACGAGCTTTATATAGTTAAAGACAAAGTCTTGCGGAAATCACTCTATCTAGGCCACGTGGTAGCGTCTACGTACGTGTCCAGCAGAAAATTTGGAACCCTTTTCATTCAATACACTCATGGAAAAAGCGGCAGCAGATGTTCTTCTAATTTTGCAGCATCTGCTTCCTTGGTACAGAGCTCAAAGCCAGCACCAAAACAAACTGACCAATGAGAATTCGCGTCCGCAGCAGACGACCTACGAAATTGCTTTATAGGCTTCACGATTCTACACCAACTCAGCGCCAACTACTGCTCGTCCGGCCAACTTTTACAACAGCATTATCCGACAGTTGTGTTAGCATTAAAGCTGTCACCATAAGCGGCGTTGTGATATTGAGCTCAATGGTATTTGTCCATTTCACGCCCTGGACGAACCAGGCGACAGCCTAAACCTCACCAACGCCGCGCGCTCTCTTAGTCAAGATTTGAGTCATACAAAAAGCCATTCACAGCGGGCAATATTACAATGCCGGACCATATTATTATTAATATGGAGAAGTTCCAAGTTGCAGCGTTCCACAGGTGTTCTTCAATTACCAAAAAAAAGTCCACGATTAAAAACCATGCCACCGCCCGTTCCCAAAATCCAAGAACATTCAGCGTCTGTGTAAATACTTGAATAGAAAAAAGGAAGACGGAAGCGAATTTGAATAGCAGCACCAAGGCTAGGGAATGCCAAGGCTCAGGATACATAGGCTTCCTCTTCTTTCGCTTTACTTTCGGCAGCCATTTCCTGCTACCCCGAGACTCTTCGCTCTCCTCAGATGAACCGCTCTTCCTTGCCTCACAACAATGCCGTGCCACCGGTTCTCGAAACAATCTCAGCATCGGCAAAAACAAGTGGTAGAACAGACCAGCAAACATGCGCGCCAGCCAAACAACCGGCAAGCGCAACCACCAGCACCAGGTCGCCGTCACAGCCGTCGCCAAAGCTTGCGCATTAACCAACGCGACCACCGTCACACCGAGCGCCACGGCAGACGTACCCATCATGCCCTACAAAACGGTGCTCTCCGGCAGCCCGTTCATGCTGAAAACCCCAGCCACGAACCCCAACGGCAGGAAAACGACAGTGACGTTTTCGACGCATCTCAAGGCGCGCCAAACCCGTGCATGATCCGCCAATCGGAAGTCGTTCACGCCACCTTCGACGGATCGAGGGACAGTGAAGCTACCTCGTTTGTCGGCACGCTTCAACGCATTTAACCAGCGGTCCACATATTCGGCCAGCTTTGGAGCCAGGGTTGAATTGAGACAGGCTCCCAAGAGTGGTCCTTCGAGCTCACCTATTTTGATTATGTGGAAGGGCGCGTCGAAGGCAAGTTGATTGCTGAAGCTGCGTTGGTTGTCCCAGCTCTTCGGCACTCTTCCTGAGGCCAAAAAAAGATTCTGAAATCGACTCCATGGATTTTGTGTTAACCTCAGCACTGCGGTGGAGCATTCGCAAACTTACTGTATGGCCTGCCACAGCTGGCTCGATCTTGCTCAGTTCATGACCTGCATTGATCAGCCACTTCAAGTGACGCTTGCATGTGCTCCGAATCCGATTACACAGTTGATCCCGGTACTTCCGAGTGTTTTGGCAGATACGGCATTCTTGGGCCATTTGCCCCGCCTTGCGTACATGTCCATGGGCATGCAATTGAACTGGTGAGCTCCGTTCAAGAAATGCGAAGATTGATGACAAAAACTGGAAAACAAAGCTACAACGGATTAGTTGGAGCTTTCACGTGTTGTCTTTGAGCTCACAAACTCGAATGAGTGTCAATAATCTGGCCATAGAAATCTCCGCAAGTAAGTACGAGTGCACCGTTGTTGTTGTCCCCGTTTTCGCTTTTGTATTGAGTAATCTCGATGACAGGGATCGAGCAGACAGACAGGATATGTTCCAGATTGCGTCGGATGACGAAGTTGAACTTGAAATGCGGATGTTCTTTGTTCAGAGTAACTAATTAGGGTGAAAGGTACGTCCAATAAGGCAGTGTTCATCTCGTGATAGTCTATCGCGGACAATATGCCAACGTCCCAAGGATTTGAAGCGCCAAAAGCCTGTAGCTTACATATCACAGTGATCTCGAGTCTTTCTGATTTGTTTTCCGTCCTTTTGCGGGCTGCTCGAGGTCAACACACTAGCCTTTGCTACCATCTTGCCTTTTCCGGAGGTCTTGAGGAATCTGGCTGACTTTTGGAGATGCTTCGCCAACTCATTTATACTAGAAGTTTTCTCTGGCCACGGTAGAACCAACGACGAGGCTTGATTTACTATCTCCAGTCTCTCCGCACCCTCGTTCTTGGATAGGTGCCAATGGCAACGGTCGATGCCTATCAAAGCCACCATCGCTGACGGCCGGCTCCGCCTTGGTTGAAGTCGAGAGGACGATGGTCTTATCTTTCTCCCGTGATGGCTTTCGGATAGAAGGGGAAACTAGCTGGCTGTGTAGAAGTTGGATACTGTTCTGCAGCCACCATAGTTTCTGGAGCCGGGTAAACCGGATATGGATCCAAGGCCGGCGGTGTCTCATCAACGAAGATGCAGATGTGGAGGTAAGGAATGTGGGGAAACGAGTCGCACGAAGAAAAACATTTCGGCGATTGACCAATGTTTCTAGTAGTGGGTATTAGCAAAGACAAGGAGATCCGGGTCAATCCACGCGACGATAAGGTGCGCTTATTCTCGTATTCAAAGGGACAGAACCTTGACCAGGACAGATGGTCGGAGAATAATGGACCAAATGATCAGCGCCCATGAATCGGCGGAGTGGGTTGTAAGCGAGGCGGTAAGACCGTTTCGCAGCTTCTACACGCGGCAAGAAGCAGGCGAGGAACCCAGGAAAGTCGCAGTATGCTATTGCAAGGTAAGAAGGAGGATAGGAGCTCGCCGACGCGCAAATGGGATTGCAAGCAAGAGGGGAGCATTGAGACACCGTGGCGACCGTACGCATCTGCCCGAACGGGTAATCTGGCCGTCCGCAGTCGCGAATCAGCGACGACCGGCTTGAGGAGAGGCAGTCCGAATAAAAGTACGCTTGGCCATCGCCAAGCCTCGCACATATGATGCCAAGTTCCAGCCTATCGACCGGGCAGCGGTAGCGAATGATAAGGCCCCGTGCGTATCTCGTGTAGGACCTGTGGTACCTACATACCCCGCAACCGCAATTCTGCTGCTCCGTTCGCGGGTCTGACGGCTTTCCGGGTCACAGTTTCTCGGCCGATTCCCGTTCCTGCCCTTTGCCAAGCACGTCAATCCCGCCCGCCGCTCCCTTGCTCGCTTGCCCTGGGATCTGACTGCTGGCCTGATGGCCAACTTTCCGCTTTGGTCTGGAGGGGTCGGGTTCGGCCCGCTGAGTGGCAGATAGTAGCTAAGGTTAATTCCTCCGTGCGTCTTGGCGTCCTGAATCACCTTCCACTTCCATCATCGGCAGGGTCCTCCTACGCGCGCTTGTCCCCACGTGCTGGCAATAAGCAGCTGGCCGTGCTCTTATCATTGGTGCAGGATGGCGTATTGTGTTGTGCATGCTGAAACAAGCGGAGGCCACCGATGGGACCCGGCGAGATGAACCTCACTGTCTGCTGTTTATAAACCCGAGGAATGCAGCCTGACTTCGAGTGCGACGTGGCTCTCCTCCAGCTCTCCAGTGCAGTCAATCGCAAACACCAGGCCATGCAGTTCTTCTTTGCCATCAGCGCGCTCCTCAGCGCCGCGCCTCTGCTTACCCAGGCCCTCCCGGCCCCGGCTCCCGTGCCCACGCCGCCTGGTATTCCGGCCCTCTCGACCGCTCGTACCCAGCTCAGCGGCCTGACCGTTGCTGCGAAGGGTTCTTCCTCCGGCTACAGCCGCGATGTGAGTCTCAGATCTCCTGTCCATGCTCGTGTTTTTCTGACGATAGGCTATAGGAATTCAACCACTGGATCACCATCTCGGGGTTTGTGCATTCTATAAAGAGCGGCGGCTTTTGATCGGCTTCTGACTTCAATAGCACCTGCAACACGCGCGAGACCGTGCTGAAGCGTGACGGAACCAGCGTCGTCACCAGCACCGCTTGCGCCGCTACCAGCGGTACCTGGTACAGTCCGTATGACGGCGCGACGTGGACTGCCGCTTCTGATGTCGACATTGACCACATGGTGCCGCTGTCGGAAGCCTGGAAGGTGGGCTTTGAGGAATTTCTGCACGTCTTGGAACAGAGGCTGACAGGTGCTTAGACCGGTGCCTCTTCTTGGACTGCTGCCCAACGCGAGGACTTCGCCAACGACCTCGACAACCCCCAGCTGTGGGCCGTTACTGACAACGTGAACCAATCCAAGAGCGACCAGTCTCCTGACGCATGGAAGCCTCCGTTGGGTGAGTGACCTTCCCACTGCAGCCTCCTGAACCGTGAGACTGACTAGCAAATAGCTTCATTCTACTGCACCTATGCCAGGGCCTGGATCAAGGTGAAGTCCGTGTACGACTTGACCATTACCTCGGCGGAGAAGAGCGCGCTTGAGGATATGCTGGACACGTGCTGAGAGACGGGGGTTACCAATGAAGGTTCGGTTCTCTGGGTTTTGAGGTCGCGCTGTGGGATGAAAAGGTCCATTACTTGTGTCGCATTTCTGAGCCCGCAAGAGGGTGCCAAATGCTCGATGAATCAATGATGTTTGACGAGACGCATGGGAGCTGAGATGACGTATTCGGGAACTTGCCACGTGAGATGCTCCCTGATGATGAAATTAGAAGTGTTGGCCTGTCCGGATGAGAAACAGTGAGCACAATTGCTCTGGCCATGCCGTCGAGCGATCATGCCTTAGTCATCTCGTAAAAGCCTCGCACTGAGAGCAGGGCGTCGTCTGAGCGGACCAAAGACAAGTTCTGGCCTGTCAGATCCAGGGAGTTGGTAATGCGACAACGTGGCACTGGATGTCGCGTCGAGTGTTGAAGCTGCCGAGCGGTGGGCGGACTGTCGCTGGGGCCAAGCGGTCGAGGGGCCGATAAGATAAGCCGGAATTTCGACTCATCCCACCAGATGACTGTTCGCCGGCCGGCAATCAAATAAACACGGTCGCACTCCCGCCGCCCTCTCCTTCCAATTGCACCACCACCCCGCTCGCACACGCTGCCTTCCCAAAATGGCGACCATCTACATCGACGAAGACATTGGCAAGGACGAGACTACCCAGCAGGGTACCGAGGAATCGCCCTTCAAGACCCTCCAATTCGCCTATCTTCAGCGCCCCGCCGAGGCCCAATACCTGACCCGCAAGTCCCAGAGCGAAGACGAGGCTGCGAAGGAATGGAAGCCCGTCGCTAAGGCTGGCCTGAAGAAGGCGGTCAACTACTACGACCAGCAGAAGAAGAAGGCTGCCCGCGAGCAGGAACTCACCGCCCAGCGCGCCAAGGAAGAGGCCGAGCGCGCAAAGGTTCTCGAGGAGGCCAAGAAGGTTGTCATTGAGGAGGATACCAGCCTGCCCCAGGCTGTCAAGATCAAATTGGACGAAGCGGGCGACCACATCAAGCTACGCAGCGTCCAGGACGCTGAGAGCAAGGGTACCCGCGTGAAAGTGCTTGGTCGCGTACACCGTGAGCGCAAGCAAAAGGATGTCCTCTTCGTCACATTGAGGGACGGCTACGGCTTCATGCAGGTCGTCATCGCCGGCAAGCTGGCCAAGACTTACGATGCCCTCACCCTGACCCGTGAGACCTCCATGGAGATCTACGGCGAGATGTACGAGGTCCCCGCCGGCGCCCACGCTCCTCTCAACCGCGAACTGCACGCCGATTTCTACAAGATCCCCCAGGAGTGGAAGGCTGCTGGCGGCGAGGATGCCATCACCAACAGGGTCCAGGCCAAGGCCGACCCCAGCACGCTGCTGGACCTGCGCCACCTCACTCTTCGCGGGGAGGTCGCTTCTTCGGTCATGTTGGTTCGCGATGCTATCGAGTACGCCTTCCACACCGCATACAAGGAGACGCGCATTCGCAAAGTCAGCCCCCCCGCTCTGGTGCAAACGCAGGTCGAGGGCGGCGCAACGCTGTTCAAGTTCGACTACTACGGCCAGGATGCCTTCCTTACCCAGTCTTCTCAACTGTACCTCGAGACCGTACTGCCTTCTATGGGCGATGTCTACTGCATTGAGAAGTCCTTCCGCGCGGAGAAGTCTCTCACCAGGCGCCACTTGTCCGAGTACACCCACATCGAGGCTGAGCTGGACTTCATCACCTTTGATGATCTTCTAGCCCACCTTGAGCACATCATCTGCCGTGTCCTCGAGCTTACCATGGCTGACCCCATCATCGCTGGCTACATCAAAAACCTTAACCCCGACTTCAAGATGCCCGAGAGACCTTTCATGCGCATGAAGTACTCTGACGCCATCCAGTGGCTGGTTGAACACGAGATCCCCAACGAGGAGGGCGAGCCTCACAAGTTCGGCGACGACATTGCGGAAGCTGCCGAGCGTAGGATGACGGACATCATCAACAAGCCCATCTTCCTGACTCACTTCCCCGTGGAGATCAAGGCCTTCTACATGCAGAAGGACAAGGAGGATCCCCGCGTCACAGAGAGTGTCGATTGTCTGATGCCTGGCGTCGGTGAGATTGTGGGTGGATCGATGAGGTTGGATGACTACGAAGCGCTCATGGCCGCCTTCAAGCGCGAGAGCCTCAACCCTGACCCGTACTACTGGTACACTGACCAGAGGAAGTAAGTGACCACTGAATATTAATCCTCCTTCATACGATAGTAGCTAACAAATACCATAGGTATGGCAGCTCCCCCCACGGAGGCTATGGCCTGGGTCTGGAGCGTTTCTTGGCGTGGCTTTGCAAACAGCACACGGTCAGGGACTGCTGCCTGTACCCGCGTTACATGGGTCGCTGCACGCCGTGAGCATCTTGGGGCATTCGTGCTGACCATACGGGAGTTGCTTTCATGGGTTTCATTTACTACTTCTTTTTGCTGGCGGGTGCCGAGAGTACGCTGCGCAGTACCCTCTTCTTCCTTTTTTCATTTCAGAGCCTCAAAAAGACGAGGAGAACCAGGATAGCCTAAAGATAGAGCGAGATCAAAGAGGGCTTGGCGTCGCGCGCTGTCGCGCGGCGTAGTAACCACGTGCTAAATCTCCAGGCACCAATGTGAACCGGCTGTACAGGGAGGGCGGCATAAGAGCACGCTGTTTTGGCAGAGAAATCCATCTCAACAAAGCGCGCAAGCGAATGCTGCATCCTGTAGATGAAGATTGCTGCGTGGTGGCAGGGGTGCTTGAAAGCAGACGACAGCGCGGTGAAAGGTGTTGGCGTTCGTTTTCGGCAGGGAGCCGAGCTTCGCGGTCACGTGTCGTAGCTTCCACCAGGGCTATTAAAGGAAAGCGCGCCCCGCTCGCCAGAACGTGGAATTGGATGTTGCGGCTCTTTAACAGGCGCAACGCGACAAAGCACCACCACCTCAATTGTCGTTCCACCTCCGACGCGTCCGCACGCCCGCGCACCAATTGCAGCCGCTTGCTCCACCACGCAACCCTCCGACCCACGCACCCAGTCACAGCTGTCCCATCCTGCCGCAGCCCACCGGCCCAAGCTCCCAGAGCTTTGCGCGTCTGCCAAGCAAACCGATCGCCGTTGCCGCATGCGCCTGCACACCGCGCTCCCACTTCGACACCACACATCCTCCCACCCCCGCAGAACCGCTCCCCGCTGAGCATGTGAGGAGCGATGCGGTTCAACTCCCCGAGAAACCTTCACTACCCCATCACCGTCACGAAGCTTCTGCAGCAACAGGATGACAAGGTGAAGAGGTTCGCGAAGCTCTTCTCATACTACTATACAACTTCTGTGACGGAAGTTGATGAGTTCGGTCAGGAAAATGACGTCGAGAAGAGATTCCCGGCCGACTTTCAAGCCGAGAAGGAAGGTACCCTGAAGACGTGGTTCATCAGGGAGGGAGACGTCATCGAGCGCGAGGGGTAAGCAGTGCACGCGGTTTTCCCGCCGCACCCACGCCACCTACGTTTGCTAATGATAAGCAGAGTGAAGCTGTTCGAGCTCAATGAGGAGTGCTCGCACGAAGTCCAATGGGGCGGGATGTGTGTCAACTGCGGAAAGAATATGGATGAGTGAGTGCCTTTGCGGACCTTTGCCCCCCCATTCCTGACAGCAAGCCTCTAGAGTGAGCTTCAACACGACCATGCGCGACGTCGACCGTGCCACCGTCGTCCGAGCCCACGGCAGCACTGCTCTCAAGATCAGCGAAGACGTGGCTATCCGCGCCGAGGAGGAAGCCAAACGTCGCCTCCTGTCGGGCAAGAAGCTCTCCCTCGTCGTCGATTTGGACCAGACCATCATCCACGCGACCGTCGATCCGACCGTAGCGGAATGGCAGAAGGATCCGGACAACCCGAACTACGATGCGGTCAAGGATGTACAGTCCTTCCAACTCCTTGACAATGGCCCGGGTGGGAGAGGATGCTGGTACTACATCAAGTTGAGGCCGGGCTTGCGAGAATTTTTGGAAAATATCTCGAAGATCTATGAGCTGCACATTTACACGATGGGAACACGGGCCTATGCGCAGAACATCGCGAAGATTGTTGACCCCAATCGCAAGGTTTTTGGCGATAGGATTCTCAGTCGAGACGAGAGCGGTAGCCTGACGGTCAAGACCCTGCACCGAATCTTTCCTGTGGACACCAAGATGGTCGTCATCATCGATGACAGAGGTGACGTCTGGAACTGGCACAGTAACCTGATCAAGGTGACTCCCTATGACTTCTTCGTTGGCATTGGCGACATCAACAGCAGCTTTCTCCCCAAGCGACATGACATCGCTGCAACCGAAGCAGCCCGGCCGCCGCCGCCGCCGTACACTCCGGCAGCCGACGAAGCAGCAGGTGAGACGAGTGTCGCGAGCGAAGAACCAAAGGCCGAAGAGAAGCAGACTCCGCTCAAGATCCAAATGCCTCCAAAGCCCAGTAGTGAAACAGCGTCGCTAGAAGAACAGCTCGTTGCCATGAGCGGAGGTGACAACCCCGAGTTACTCAAGGAACAGACGAATGAGCAAAATGAGACGATCGCGACGCAGATGGAAGACAAGCCGCTTCTGCGTAGGCAGGAGATTCTCGACAAGGCGGACCAGGAAGCCGCGGAAAAGGAGGAAACCCGCGAGAATGGTGATGAAACGCCGAGTGACACTCACAGACGCCATAACCTTCTTCACGATGACGACGACGAGCTTGTGCACCTGGAAGCCAATCTGCGGTCCGTTCATCAACGTTTCTTCGAGCGATACGAAAGGAACCGATCTGGCGCCCAGGGCGGAAGACTGGCGCAGCTCAAAGGGGAAAAGAGCCCGAAGAAACGGCCGATAGACGACTTGGAGATAGTGCCAGACGTCGCGTTAATCATGCCCAGCATGAAACGAAGCGCTCTCAAGGGTGTCTCGATCGTTTTCTCCGGGGTAGTCCCGCTAGGAACCAACATTCAGAAGTGAGTACTGCAGTGATTTTATGGCGCCCGCTGGCTTCTGACTTGTCCACAGCTCCGAATATGCCGTATGGGCAAAGAGCTTTGGCGCAAAGGTGTCGGAAGCGATCAATCGAAAAACGACCCACGTCGTGGCAGCAAGGAATCGGCGTACACAGAAAGTGCGGCAGGCAGCACGGCACCCCCAGATCAGGATCGTCACTGTGGACTGGCTGAAGGAATGTTTTGTGAAGTGGCAACGTGCGTCGGAGGCGCCCCACATCATCCATGTGGAGCCTGATGAGCGCGGCCCGCACGCCTCGCAGGGTTCCCCATTTGACGAGCTTGACGATGGTACCGTGATGTCCTCGTCTGAGGAGGATGCGGCAAACGCGGAAAACGACCTTGACGATCTCGTGGAGGACGATACGGGTAGTGACGACGAAGAGCTGGACGACATGATGCCCACTTCCCCAGTGAACGAAAGCAACCTCATGCTGGATGATACAGACCGAGAAGAGCTCGAAAAAGAGCTTGCAGAATTCCTGGATGACAGCGATACTGATGGTGAAGGAAGCGACAAGTCGGACGGGTTCGAGTCGGATGCTAGCGTCCGCAGCGAGTCGTCGACGAAGAGCGCGCACAAGAAGAGAAAACGCAACGCCGAGTCCAACGAGAACTCGGAGGCCAGCGATAGCGACTCGAACATGACGGACGACGGGACTGTCAGCATAGCGGGGTCAAAGCTTCAGCGGCGGAAGAAGCGGGCGCTAGAGCGGGTGACAAGTTTGACCAACGTCGCAAGCGTCGAGCAGTCGTCGGGCCTGCCCAGTCCGGACACGACTGGCCCCGAAGAAGGGCAAGGCGAAGAGGAGGCGGGCAGGGTGCACCAACCGGACGCGGACGAAGACGACGACGCATTGGAAGCGGAAATGCTAGCAGAGTTTGAGAGGGAGGTGGACGACGACGACGACGACGACGACGACGAGGCAGAGGAAGAGGACGAGACCGAGGACTGAAAGCGATGGCCCTTGTTCGCATGCGACCAACAAACAGTCACGACATGTCCGCATCCTATAGGTCTGTCTCTACATAGCGGGGCTCTCTTTATTCTGTACGACACAGCGACGACTGCTCTCTCAGCCTGCATAGCGCGGAGTTCAGGGATCTTGAAGACTGGAGTTTGGCGGGATTGGGATTGGCAAAGACATGGTGGGCGGGGGGGGCGGACGGGCGGATCTCTCGTGCTTTGACGCACTCCTCATGGGCGACCAGCAAGGTGCGCTTTGACTAGTCGGCGGCGGCGCGCCACGTAGAGTAGCTCAATCCCTTTGATGAAAAGTAGGCTTCGGCGATGCTAGCAGCGCCCCTGCCGGTCGGCCTTGAAGATGAGCTGTCCGGGCCAGAGCTCGGCTAGCGGACGTCACGGGCCGTGCGGAGGCATCGGAGCGTGGCTGGAGCCGGCGATGGGAGCTTTGCCCTGCCCAGAGCGAGGCCAGGCAATGCCGCGACAGGCGGCGGGCGGCGGGCGGCTTCCCCCTTGGGCCCAGGGCGACGGCGCCGTCACGGCCGTTTCGATTTTCGCGCCCAACTGTGCGTGCGGCGCCACAGTCCGAGTCATGCGGCGGGATTGGCAGTGGGAAGACTGCTCTGGACGGTATGCAGGCCGAGCAGGCTGAGCCAACTCCAGGCAAAATGGGCTGACTTTCTCGCCGGCAGCCACAATCGTATGTTGCATGTCGACACGAGCCTGCAGCCCGCGCCAAGACCTAGCGCTGGGGTTTTCCGTCATCGAGCCCGTTTCACTTGCGGATAAAATAGTTGTCGGATTCTCGCAGCGCTGGCTGCGGCCTGCCGTTGTCCTCTCCTTCTCCACTTCTTCGACCGCGCTGGTGCTGCTGCTGCTGTGCGTCTGCTGCCTGCTTCCTGCTTCCTGCTTCCTGCTTCCCGCCTCCACTTCACCGGCCTCCCACTGCCCTGGTCCCCGCGCGTCACGCTCTCTTTCCGGCGCCTAATAAGCTCCCGCTCTTTCTTGTCTTCTCTCCAGTCTTCACTGCTGCTCCAGCCACCTGGCACAAGCCAAGATGCCGTTGACCAAGGCCACCGGCCTCTCGATTGAGATATGGGCCATGATAGTCGACTATGTAAGTCCAACCGCCGAAGCCCAGCCAGCCAGCCAGGCGCCGTGCAGACCCCGCACGCCACCCATGCGCTTTTGCTGTGCCGCGTGGCACCCATGATGGCAGGGCCCTGCTGACGATTTGGCCGCCAACGCTACAGGTCCTCCGGCCTACGGACCTCAAGAGCCTGTCCCTCTCGTGCAAGCAGCTGCACCAGATCGCGGTGCGCAATCTGTACCGCGAGGTGACGCTGAACGTGGGCAGCACGGCTGACCTCAATCTGGGCGCTTTCCTCAACCCCCGCAACATCGGGTTGAACTACATCCGCCGCCTGCACATCTACCTTGCCGAGGTCGAGGACAAGCGCAACCAGCTGCAGCAGGCCCACTTTGCCGTGCGCATGATCCTGGAATTCCTGCCCGAGAACATCCTCGAGAGATTCTCCTGGCACCCATGGCAGCCCTTCTCGGCCGAGAACCTGCTGCTGCTGTACCGCAAGCAGCGCCAGATGAACTGGCTGGAGGGCATCTCGCTCGACAAGAACATCCTCGACCAGCTCGAACACTCGGGCGATCTGGAGCACATCGCTGAGCACACGCGCACCCTGGGCCTGTACCCCGACAGCGGAGAGGTGCTGGATCTGTGCAACATCCTGCTGCGCAAGAACAAGAAGGTCGACAAGCTCATTGTCAATGCCAGCTTCCACCCCGCCGTAAGCCCTTTCTCGCCTCGTGAGCTGCATGACTCGAGCACCGGACCCGGCTTGATCACCTCGAGGCTGTTTGGGCACATGATTCCCCTCGAGCACTGCAAGCCCCTGGCCCTCACGGAGCTCACGCTGCAGAAGGTGCACCTGCGGTACTCGGCAGAGACGTGGTGCCGCGCCATCAAGTTCTCCACGCTCAAGAAGCTGGCCGTTTTCGACTGCCCCGGCGCGTGCACTCTGTTTGCGGAGCTGAGCAAGCCGACCAAGCTTCCGCGCAACCTCGAGACGCTGGAGTTCAAGCACGAGGACAACCGCGAGAGCGATGCCCTGCACGCCCTGGACAACTTCCTGTGCCTCGTCACCGGCCTCAAGGCCATCACCATCGACATCAGCAACGTCAAGGAGCTGCCTGCCGCGGCGGGCATCAGCAGGCACGGCAAGACATTGAAGCTGCTCAACGTACACGCCAACGCGGCAGACCTGCTGGAGGACGAGTTCGTGTACAGCCCCATGGATTTCGAGAGCATTTGCAGGGAATGCACCGAGTTGGAACAACTGTCCGTCGGCTTCCCGGCGACCAGCATCGTCGCGGACAAGACGGACAGCTTCGCCGCCTTCGAGGTAAGCTAAGCCCCAACCAACCAACCCTCAACCTACAGCAAGCTCCGGCACAATGCCGCTCCGTCCCTCATCTCGCATCCATCCAGACACCGGCGCCCCGTCTCCCTCTCGCTCCTCCAACAACCAACTAACCGAAAACCAAAACAGAGCGCCCTCAACTACCTCCCCCAACTCGTCTCCCTCAACATCACCACCTGGCCCAAGAACAACAACAGCCTCGGCCCCCTCCCCCGCAACATCTACGCCCTCCTCGTCCAAAACGTCGCCCAATCCATCCTCTACTCGCACCACCCCCACCCCGCCTCCTCCGACACCACCTCCGACACCGACTCGGTCATCACCGCCGTCGACCACCACCACCACCACCACAATCCTCACAACCCCAGCCAGACCCACACCCACCACCACCGCTCCCCCCGCTGGTCCCACCTCAACCTCATCGCCTTCGGCAGCACCGACGCCGCCCTCGCCCACGTCCTCAACGACGACGAGGCCGGCCGCCTCGGCGCCGCGACGCAGCTCGTCTTCGTCAAGGGGAGGCAGGTGGGGCCGTTCGGCGAGGAAGCGCCGCTGGCGGTCGGCGTGAAAGGAAGGCTGAGGGAATACGTCGAGCCGAGGAGCGAGGTGCTGGATTTCGGGCTGGCGCGCGCGAGGAAGATGCCGTCGGGGGGCGAGGACATGGGGGTCGGGATGGGGGTGGGGTGGTTGGCGAATTGATGAGTTGGATCGAGTGAGTGGGTGGGTGAGTGGTTGGGGGAGGCGGGGGACGGGAGGAGGGAGGCGGGGCGGGAATGTAAGAGTAGGTAGGGGTTGTCGTTCTGGTTTTTTTTGTTCGCTTTCGGTTTGGCTGGCTGGTTTTCCGACAACGACAACAAAAGTGCATATTGGGCTGGCGCTGAGCTTGGGGGGAGGGATGGGGACATCTTTTCCCAGCTTTTTCGTTTACTGCTGCAGCATCGTTCAGGTTGGGGTGTGTGGATCATGGCGCGCGCATTTCCCTGTTTTTTTTTAATCCTGTTTCTTGTTTGGAAAGCTGGTGTTTTGCTTTCCTAGGTAAATCTGGATTGGAGTTAGGCGGGGTGATATCCCATTTATAATGGCTACTATTTGGACCTCTGCACCGACTGCGAAGAGATGACTCGGTAGTAGCTGTTGGTATTGGGGGCGCAGGGAGTCAGCAGGGAGATGACATCAATCCATTACAGCATGCGCTCATAGCATGCAGGATGTAAGATGAAAATGTGAGTGAAAGCTACATGACCTTGTAACGACTATGACAATTACTCCGCGACCAATGTAGAGGTTCGGCCACGATTTCGCACAAAGGCGGTGTGCAGATGTTTGTTAGTCAGCAAAAAGTCTGGGATTCTGCCGTTAGTGCGAACCCTGGCGTGTTTCTCATCACAAAAAATTCCCGAGGGAAGAAGGCAGACCGCGAAGAACACCACAAACGCCACACAACGCGCGCAAAGCGCCGAACCCACTCTCCTCTCGCACGCAACGGGTGCTTCCTGCACATATACAAATTCCGAATCCCACAAACCCTACCTGAGGGTTTCAAAAGGACAAACATGGCCGCCGCAAAACTCGACACATCCCTCCCGTCGCTGCTGTCGAACCTCACGGCGTCGCTCACCTCCGCCGCCGAACCGGTGCCCTCCCTCAACAACAACAGCGCGGATGGCGACGACGACAATGACGCGTCCTCCTTCTCGCCGCTCCTGCCCAAAGACGGCATCTCGCTGCTAGACGTCAAAAACGAGCTGCTGCTGTCGTACCTGCAGAACCTGGTCTTCCTGATCCTGCTGAAGCTGCGGAACAACAAGGCGACGTCCGACAGCGGCAACAAAGACGAGGGGGACAAGGAGAATGTCGAAGACGTCGTCAAGAAGCTGTGCGAGCTCCGGCTGTACCTGGAGAAGGGCGCGCGGCCGCTCGAGGGCAAGCTCAAGTACCAGATCGACAAGGTGGTGCGGGCGGCAGACGACGCGGCGAGGGCGGAGGAGGAGGCGCTCAAGAAGTCGAAGTCGTCGTCGTCGTCGACGGGCAAGAAGAAGAAGACGGCGGCGGAGGACGACGGCAGCGGCAGCGACTCCGACGCAGCCTCAGACTCGGCCTCCGACTCCGACCCCGCCGCCTCGGCCTCCGACATCGACGAGCTCGCCTACCGCCCCAACCCCCTCGGCTTCGCGCGCCGCAACGGCGGCAGCAGCAGCAGCGCCCGAAACAACGACGCCGCCGGCTCCGCCGCCGACAAGCAGAGTCGCCGCAAGAAGGGCGAGGACGACGCTTCGGCGATCTACCGCCCCCCCCGCATCACCGCCACCTCCATGCCCTCCGACCTCCCCCGCCACGGCAGAGAAAAACAACAAGAAGACGACCGCCGCCACCCCCGCCGCGCCGGCGCCATCGACGACTTCGTCGCCGAGCACCTCTCGGCCGCGCCCGTCGCGCAGCCCAGCATCGGCTCCAACGTCGTCGACGGCGGGCGGCGCGTCGCGTCGGCGCGCGACCGCGCCGCCGAGGCCGAGCGCCGCGCGTACGAGGAGACGAATTTCGTGCGCCTGCCCGCGGTCGGGAAGAAGGAGCGGGCGAAGGCGAAGGCGGCGCGGGATCGCGGTCGCAGCGAGTATGGTGGGGAGGAGTGGCGGGAGTTGGGGGCGGGGGTGGAGAGGATCGATCGGCTTACGAGGAAGGGGGGGGAGAGGGGGGGGTCGACGAGGGGGGCGTTGGAGAGGAGTAGGAAGAGGGCGGTGGAGGATGGGCCGAGGGGGGATGGTGGCGGTGGGGCGGAGGCGGGGGCTATGTTTGCGAAGAGGAGGAAGGTGGTGAATAGGAGGAGGTAGTAGTAGGTGCTGTGGGGTGGGTCTTGTTCTCTTTCTTTCTTTTTCTTTGCTGCTTCTGCGGCCTGGGCAGGCTGGGGTGCTGCGTGTGTTTTGCTGGGCAGAGGTTTTTGTGGCATCTGTCGGCGTTTGACTCGGGGATGCAATTGTGAAGAGGGACTTTTGCTTTGCAGGTCGGTATATATAAAAGTTGCTGTAGGGATTGGGAGATACCCAACAAAAAGGCCATGTTGTTTCTTCCTTCTCGGGTTCGTGTCCGAAGTGAAAGACGAACGATCGGTGAAGTCATTGTAATAGGTGAGAGAAGATTCGAGCTCGACAAAGTCCACCAGAGGGCCGTGAACTCCTACGTCGGTAGTTGCATCTAATGTCAGGACGAACTTGTCCGGCGTCAAAAACACGTCCACGTACGAAGGGAGGATGCAGTTGAGTTGCCTACGTAAACTGCAATATATTCATCCTAGGGAGTAAGGCTAGGAGAGTCAAACTATTGCACCACCCGCTGTGATATCAATTGGAGCAAAGTTGCATCATGCTGCAAAACGGCTGTGGCTCCTTACGTGAGGCGTGAATTCAGACCACGATTCTGGCTGTATAGCCGGACATGCCCTCCGACCCAAGCCCCATGCCGTGAAACGCTTGCTGGTCGAACGCTGCTACCTATGCTATTCGTCTAGTACGCCGTGAATATACATCCGCTCCCCAACTCCCGGTATTGGTTTTTTTCTCTAGTGTTTTCCGGCCATTTGAAACTCCGCAATGCAAATTTCCCGGGCAGTCTATGTTGTTAATTTTCCCTTTTTGATTTTTCTTTTACTTCCTATACCGCGTCTGTCTTGACGAATCTATCCCTCATAGCCGGAAAAAAAAAACAATAGGGGACTTGGGATCTCAAAGCGCGGTCCGGACTAGAACGATGTTTTTTCTACAGTCAATCCTTCCAAACTTTGATAATTTCATAGAGTAAAATAAGTCCCCCACTCCCGCAGTGTTCCCGCGTCGTGAATCCACTGATTGATTCTTCCCCTTTCACCATCATTCAGCAAAAAGCAAAAATGCAAACGCATTTGGACACTGGTTTGCGACTAGACGCGTCTACAATATTGGAAATCCTTTCCGCATAACCATCCTTCGACCCGTGCCCAAGTCCGGTGACCCCCTCCTGCACTAAGAAGCAAAGTATGCTTTGCTACTGATGGAAAGCGCCGAGAGAGATCAAGTCCGGGAGGGATAGGAGTAGCAGACATTGTCAATGATCAAGACAAAGGGAACGTTCCTTTTTTTCAACACTTTCATTCATTGTTTCTCTCGGCGAGGCATGTCCCCCAAACGCGTGCCCCACTACCACCGATCTACTACAGAGTAAACCCACCCAGTAGAATGAACGTTTTTTTCCTCCAAAAACTTGTGTGAAGAGCTTGAGCGTTCCGTGGAGAATTCGTGTTGAAAGAACCCCCTCCCAAACGCCGACGCTTTTGATTGATCTTTGGCGGAAAAAATAAACTAAAAAAAAAAAATTGTTGAAGAAGTGCTCTTCTTTCTCTCTTATTCCATCTGCAATACTTTGCAGCGCTTGCGCATATTGCAGCGTTAAACTTCTAGAGAGTCTATGTTGAATACTGTTGACAGGTGGTATCTTGCCCAAAAACCCAAGAAAGATTTTTCTCTTTTAGATGATCCCTGACGCCGTTTTGTTTGTTGAAAAGATAACATCAGTCGTTACCGCGTAGTGTTGACAAGACGTTGAGTCGTCAACTTGAAAATGTTCATTGCGAAGAAGCAGGAAGGAAAATTAAGCACGGAGTTCTTGAGCTTAGAACTTCAGCTCCTTGGGCTGCTCCCAGGTGAAGGACTGGTCGGTGAAGTGACCGTTCTTGGCGGTGCGGTTGTAGATGGGGTTGGTGAGGTTAAGCTCCTTGACGATGACACCGGGCCTCATGTCGAAGTTGTTGCGGATGATCTCGACAAGCTCGTCGGACGTCTTGTCAGAGGTGCCGTAGGTCTCGACGAAGAGAGAGAGGGGCTCGGCGACACCGATGGCGTACGAGAGCTGGACAAGGGCGCGGCGGGCGAGGCCGGCCTTGAGGAGGGACTTGGCGATCCAGCGAGCCAGGTAGGCGGCCGAGCGGTCGACCTTGGAGTAGTCCTTGCCGGAGAAGGCACCACCACCGTGGGCACCCCAGCCACCGTAGGTGTCGACGATGATCTTGCGGCCAGTCAGACCGGCATCACCCTGGGGACCACCGATGATGAAAAGACCAGAGGGCTGGATCTGTAGAGGGGTCAGCGGGAAATGCCAACAGAGTACGGTTGGGGACTTACGTGGTAGACGGTCTTGTCGTCAAGGAGGTGAGCGGGGATGACCTGCTTGATGATCTTCTCCTTGATCTCCTTGCGGAGCTCCTCGGTGGAGATGTCCTCGGAGTGCTGGGCAGAGACGACGACGGTGTCGACGCGCTTGGGGACAACGGCACCGCCGTCGTGCTCGTACTCGACGGTGACCTGGGTCTTGGTGTCGGGACGGAGCCAGGGAAGCTCGCCGCTGTTGCGGGCCTTGGTCATGGCAGAGTTGAGCTTGTGCGACAGGAGGATGGTGAGGGGAAGCATCTCGGGGGTCTCGTCGGTGGCATAGCCGAACATGATACCCTGGTCACCGGCGCCGAGCTGCTCGAGAGCCTGCTCGTAGTGGAGACCCTGGGCGATGTCGGGCGACTGCTGCTCGATGGCGACAAGGACGTTGCAGGTCTTGTAGTCAAAGCCCTTGGCCGAGTCATCGTAGCCAATGTCCTTGATGGCGCCGCGGATGACCTTCTGGTAGTCCAGGTGGGCCTTGGTGGTGATCTCACCGAAGACCATGATCATGCCCGTCTTGGTGGCAGTCTCGCAGGCAACCTTGGAGAGGGGATCCTCGGCAAGGCAGGCGTCGAGGATGGCGTCGGAGACCTGGTCGCTGCAGAGACGTCAGCCAAACGAAGGCGCGCTGGAGTGCGGCGCAACGGAGTCATACGCAATCTTGTCGGGGTGGCCCTCGCCGACCGACTCGGAGGTGAAGAGGAAGGTGCCCTTGGGGGCGGTGCCATTGGGAACGGAAACCATGGTGACGGCTGCGAGAAAGCGAAGCGCGCGAGAGCGAGGAGAGAAGAGTGCTGGGTGGCGGTGGAGGAGAGGATGAGGAGGAGAGAAGGTGGGTGGAGGAGGGGAAAAGAAGACAATGGCGCTGGGCAAGACGCTAAGCCGACCTTTAATTGCCGGGCGCAAAGCACCTCATCCCGCCATTTTTTCGCTCACCGCCTGCCGCTCCGGTGGTTTTCTGCCCGCACGTGTCGCCGCCTGGCGCCGTCGCCGGGCGCAAGCGGCGCAAAAAGTCGCCGGCGTCGCTGCTCGGTCGCCGCATGTGAGCGCTACTCGACCAAAACTCCCCGCATCCGACCGCGACGATGAGCAAGTTCGGCACTCTGGTCATGGGCCCGGCCGGCGCCGGCAAGAGCACCTTCTGCTCCGCCCTGATCCAGCACCTGCGCACCCTCAAGCGCTCCTGCTTCTACATCAACCTCGACCCCGCCGCCGACGACTTTGCGTACGAGCCCGATGTCGACATCAAGGACCTGATCAGCCTCGAGGATGTCATGGAGGAGATGGGCCTCGGCCCCAACGGCGGCCTCATCTACTGCTTCGAGTTCCTGCTCGAGAACCTGGACTTTCTGACCGAGCCGCTCGAGGAAGTGACCGAAGAGTACCTCATCGTCATCGACATGCCCGGCCAGATCGAGCTGTACACGCACGTTCCCATTCTGCCCGCCCTCGTCAAGCACCTCATGCGCGGCTCGCTCAACATCAACATGTGCGCCGCCTATCTGCTCGAGGCCACCTTCGTCGTCGACCGCGCCAAGTTCTTCGCCGGCACCCTCTCCGCCATGAGTGCCATGCTCATGCTGGAAATGCCGCACATCAACGTCCTGAGCAAGATGGACTTGGTCAAGGACCAGCTGGCCAAGCGCGAGCTCAAGCGCTTCATCACCCCGGACGCTGGCTTGATGGAAGACGATCCGGCCCACAAGCTCGAGTTCGAGAGCGCCGGCGACCCGGCTGCGACCGAGAGCGTCATGACGGGTTCCTCGTTCAACAGACTGAACAAGGCGGTCGCGGGACTGATCGATGACTTCAGCATGGTTTCTTTCCTCAAGCTCAACGTGCAGGATGAGGACAGCGTGAACGCAATCCTCAGCTACATCGACGACGCTATACAATACCATGAAGCGCAAGAGCCGCATGAGCCGCTAGACGAGATCGATACGGGCATGGATGACAGTTGAGTGGGTTGAGACGTAATGCATGGTTGGGAGTTTCGGGTGAAGTTCAAGAGTTGGGCATAGCAATGGCGTTTCTGGATACCAAGAGGGGGGACGAGGGCCGATTCGAAAGGTTAAAAGGACGAGCTGATGGGGGCATCGGACGGCGCTCCGCATTGCCAGTTGCCCACTTGCATCACCACGTAAGTGGATGGCGTCTTCAGTCTAATTGTATCCTCCCATTTCCACCAACGGAAATCGTCAGTGTGGGTGACACAACTTCGCAAGCCAGCACATGACGGCTGGGAAGAATCTGGTAGTCTCCAAGATTGCATACAAACCTTTCAAACTTTTGCCACGGCCGGATCATCGAAAACGAGATTTCTGGCGCCTCCTAGACATCCGCCAAGCTCTCCAGCACGCACAGGCTCTCGTGTTTTCCATCCGTGGTGACACTGTGCGCTTTTGACCACGGCAGCGGGTGTTGGTACTGCACTTCTGGACGGATGCGTAAATCGGATGCCGAGCCGGTGGCTGTAGCATTCCTCAGTGCGGATTCGGCTGTTTACGTTGGTGCGACCAGACCGTGTACTCTGGCGTGTCCCGGTTCGGGCTCACACAGCAGATGATCTTCGCGCAACAGTCACGTTGCGCGATCCTTGATGACGAAAAGTGGCTGCTGGAATGCCTTCCTGATCTCGACTCTCGGATGATTGGTGAATGGCTGATTTGAGCAGCATCAGCAAAAGAAACGCCCGTAATCTCATGCAGGCACGCCGTGCCAAAAGCAGCAACGGCAAGCAGCCTTGAACGATGACAGAGCAGCGAATCGACGTTGCCAAGTGAGTCAGAACAGAGAGCCACGGTCGGACGCAGGTACGATTGGCGATGTGGCTCGGAGGCGGGGTAGCAGGACCACGCCGTTTACCCGTCAAGCTTAATTAACCCCAAACAATTGGGGATCGTCTTCACCTGGCTAGGCCTCTTCTTCTTTGGTCGCTGCTATAGCCACGAATAAGTCACATCCTTCGCGTGCGTCCTGTCATTTAATTTCCTTGGTCGGGTGCGAGGCCGCGGGCTCCGGCGGCTCATCCCACTGCTTTTGCCATCAGGTGGTGTCACGCTCCGTTGACTTGGCCGCGATTCAGTCTTAGCCCGGTTTCCACAATCAGCCAGCATACCACGGACCCGCTTGTTTCATGCTCCGATCTGCTGCCATTGGATCGGCTATGCATGCTCCTGTGAACATGGCTCTATCCGGAATTCCCGGCTGTCAATTGCTCCACCGCAGCCACCGTCCGTGTCAGACGTGGACTACTCTCAGCACCGGCAGGCTAAGAATCATGTTCCCGAAAGAGCTGCGGCCCCTTCGAAAGCTTCTTGATTGAGCTTTGAAACTGGATGGCGGCGCCATTGTGACGGGAGCTGAGCCTATTAGCACCGGAAATTCGGTTCAGCGCTCCGGACGCCGCCATGAGCTGTGCATATGCCATGCAATATAAAACAGAGCCTCGCACTTGCTCTGTCGTACTCGGCCAGCCGCCTTCGAACAAAGTCCGTACGGCCAATTCTCAAGGACAGGTTTACTTTCGTCACTCTTTCTCGACAAGATGAAGCAATCTGCAGCCCTCGCCCTCGCGGCTGTGTTGCCGTCTGCCTACGCAGCTGCCGGCGCTGCTTATGCTCAGTGTAAGTCGAAGATGATTGCACAATCTTGAACATGGCATCTCACACTCCACAGGTGGCGGTTCGGACTGGACCGGAGACACCACGTGCGTTTCAGGCTACGCCTGCTCCAAGGTCAATGAGTGTAGGTTCCTTCTTCTGTCTTAATTGCAAAGCTAGACCGTCTGACAGAAGACAGACTACAGCCAGTGCTTGCCCGGAGCTGCCGCCACTACCGGCGCCGCAACGACTGCAGCGACTGCAGCTCCCACGACGCTGAAGACGAGCACGAGCGCCGCCGGAGCCACTACCACGGGCGCAACCGCAACGACGCAGCTCGCCGACACTGCCAACCCGCTTGCTGGCTACAGCTTCTACGCCAACGCGTACTACTCGTCCGAGGTTATCAGCAGTGCTGTCCCATCCCTGGAAGCCGCTGGCAGCACCGAGCTGGCAGCCAAGGCCACCAAGGTTGCCGATATCCCCAGCTTCTACTGGCTGTAAGTTTCTTCATTCTGGAACAGGTTCGGTCGGTGCGACAGTAAGCTGATTTCTGATCCAGGGACACGCGGGCCAAGATTCCCATGATTGACGATTTCGCCAAGGACGTGCAGACCAAGAACGCGGCTGGCGCGAAGTTGACTCTGCCCCTGGTAGTGTACGACCTTCCAGACCGCGACTGCGCAGCCGCTGCTTCCAACGGAGAGCTCGCCATCGCCGACGATGGCGTGAACATTTACAAGACGGAGTACATCGATGAGATTGTCAAGAAGGTCAATGCCTACCCCGATGTCTTCTTCACCTTGGTCATTGGTATGTTCACCCCGAAGTTTCCCATGAGATATGCTCATTTCCACTCGTAGAACCCGACTCCCTCGCCAACTTGGTGACCAACCTGAACGTGGCCAAGTGCGCCAACGCGGAATCGGCGTACAAGGAGAGCATCGAGTACGCGATCAAGGCGCTCAACCTCGACAACGTGGCCATGTACCTCGATGCGGGCCACGCAGGCTGGCTGGGCTGGCCTGCTAACCAGCAGCCGACGGCGGACCTGTTCGCGGAGGTGTACAAGGCAGCGGGCAGCCCGAAGGCGGTGCGCGGACTGGCGACGAACGTGTCCAACTACAACGCGTGGAGCATCGCGACGTGCCCGTCGTACACGCAGGGCAGCACCATCTGCGACGAGAAGCGGTTCATCAACGCCCTCGGGCCGCTGCTCGACTCGGCCGGCTACCCCGCGCACTTCATCGTCGACCAGGGCCGTTCCGGCAAGCAGCCCACGGCGCAGGAGGCGTGGGGTGACTGGTGCAACGTCAAGGGCACCGGCTTCGGTCTGCGCCCGACCACCGAGACGGACGATCCGCTGCTCGATGCCATTGTCTGGGTCAAGCCTGGCGGCGAGGCTGACGGCACCTCGGACACGTCGGCGACGCGCTACGACTCGCACTGCGGCGCCAACAGCGCGCTCAAGCCTGCGCCTGAGGCCGGCACCTGGTTCCAGGACTACTTCGTCCAGCTTCTCACGAACGCCGACCCGGCTTTCTAGATGGGCTGAGAAGTGGGGCGCTGTTGGAAGGAGTGATTTTCAGGAGAGCATTCGCTCGTTCTTTACATTCTTCGTGTGAATATCTTTGCAACATTTGTCCATTCTGTTGGAAATCAAGCTTTTCCCTGCATTTGAATTTGCCGCCGTGATTCTGGCACTGGTGAATCTGATACACACGGCTCGAAAACTGTCAGTCTGATGGCATCCGAGGGCATCCGGTCTAGACAGCGCCATGGAGGCCAGCACGACAATCACGGCTCGCACTGCAGCTATTATTCACCGCCATCCGTGCAAATCTCCGTCGTGACATAGGACACGGTTTGACGTTTGACAGATGTGGTAAAGCGGGGGGCTCGGCAAAGCTCGACCGTTCTCGCGTGGAACAAGCTTCGTCGTCGACTTCCGTCAACGCTCCGCACTTCTCCACGGGCTGTGGGCCATATCACGAGCTCAATAGGGGCTGGTGTGGCGAAAGTAATAGCCACGTTTTTTACCGCCGTCCCACCTGCCGGCCCAGCAGCACCATGTTCCCGCAGCCGGGAGCAGATCGTGGCGTGGTTTAATCAACCCGAGGCGGATCTCCAGCGCCTACGGTCCGCGATGCCGACGGACGGCTAAAGTCCACTGATGCTTGCGACTTATGCTTAAAATTTATGCAGGGATGTGGACCGTGGCGCTCCGTGTGCACCCTGTGCCGTTCATGCCAATCGGCCAGCAACTTTATCAGTGTTTTTAAAAAACGCATTGTTCGCAAGCTGCATGCACATGCTGTCGGCCTGGCCAGTGCTCTGTATTCTGTATATTCGGACATGGCCGGGCCGTATTGTACTCAGGAAATGCGGCTACACCGCTCCGTTAGCTTGATGTCCGGCCTCACGGCCTCGTCGGGAAACAAAGCGCTGCGAGACATGCTCAATGCTTGCAATCTAACGGCATTTTCAGCAATTCTGTCGTCTTTTGCCCGGCTTAGGTGCAAGTATAAGATAGCTTGACCACGGCTGGGCACACCTCCCGCTGGTGTCTAGTGTAGGGACTTTCCGCTGCTTCTTTCTTCTTTGTGGCCCCACTTGCCTTTCGTTCTCTCGTCACATCTACTTCAGTCCTGTTGGACAAGATACTTCAGTTCCACTCGCTCGCCATGCTCGGCCACACCCTCCTCGCCGCCGCGACCCTCGCGGGCTCCGCCACCGCAGGCACCGTCATCTGGGACGGCCGATTCAACGACTTCAACTCGTCGGCCGACCTGAACAACTGGTCCTGGTCGAACCAAGTCCGTCACCTTTTTCCCAAACCTCGACCCCCCTTTCCTAACCCTCCCTCCCTGCACAACAGGTCGGCCCCTACCAATACTACATCCACGGCACCGGCGACGTCACCGACTACGTCAACCTCTCCCCGTCGTACAAGAACCCGGCCGACACGGCCTCGACCCAAGGCGCGCGCATCACCATCGACCCCACCGCCAAATGGAACAGCGACATGTGGCGCACGGAGCTGATCCCGCAGACGACGGCCGCCATCGCCGCCGGCACCGTCTTCTACCACTTCTCCGTCTCGCGCAGCGCCACCAACGCGCCGTCCGCCGCGCACGAGCACCAGGTCAACTTCTTCGAGTCGCACTTCACGGAGCTCAAGTACGGCTGGATCAGCGGCGCCAGCGGCGAGACCAACACGAACCTCCAGTGGATGGTCGGCGGCGTGTCGAAGTGGGCCGTCGAGTGGGAGGCTGACGTCTGGCACAACGTCGCGTACGAGATCGACTTTGCTGGCCAGACCGTCGCGTTCTGGCACAGCGTCGGCAGCGATGCGCTCGAGCGCGTTGTCGAGCCTGTTGCGGCCAGCACGAGCAGCAATGGCGCGGATTGGCATCTCGGCGTGTTGAGGCTGCCGAGGAGCGGCTATGATACCGAGGATGCGGAGGATTGGTACTTTAGCGGCGTTTATGTCGAGACGGGCGATATTACCACGAGTGTCGTGGGTCCGGCTGGTGAGCGTGTTTCTTCTTCTTCTTCTTCCTGACCTCGGGGAATGCCTCCTCTTTGCTTTGCTCCACCGAGGCGACCACTGCTGACCTGACGACTACCAAGCAGCCTAGCGTCTCCATGACGCCTCTTGTCTCCGCGACTACGCTTGAGATGACTACCTTGCTTGCAGCGACCGCGACACTGCGAGAGCAGGTACGCCTGTACGAAGCTCAATGAATGTTACTCACGATGTTTGTGAGGAGTACGAGATATGGGTTTGGTGGTTGCTGAAGTGGGGGTTCAGTTCTTGTTGATACTTTTATCTTTGATCGAGTCGATATGTACGTACATAACTGGAAAATGATGATGGTAACGTAACGACGAACCGTTTGCGGTGAACCTTTTTGTCCTTGATAATATCAAGTGTTCAAAAAAACTCTTTGCTCTCCTTTGCCTACCTTTCGAAACTTGAGCGACAGGAATCATGTCCTAGCCAGAACTTGAAGTCTGACCCATACTCTTCCAGTCTCCAGGACGTTGAACAGGTATTGCGGCTCACCGGAGAGATGCTAAAAGATTTCTCGCCCCTGTAAGCTCTACATTTGAAATTTACAGCCACTCGCATGTCAGTATGCTTAGCTTACTTCTGCCCTCAATTTCATTTCTACTGCCATTCTAGAGGTCAACACATTCTCTCCCCGAACATCTAAACCAGCACCGTACAAAACATCATCAAGGCACACGCACTAGTAAGTCGACGGGAATCCACTCAGCCGCCCACCATCTGTCACCTGCACCGAGCCGTTGAGGTAAGAACCGCCCTTGCCCACCATATACAAGATCAAGCCAGTGATGTCGTCAAACGAGCCCTTCCTCCCCGCCGGGACCTGGTTGATCGGATACTCCTGGTCGTGCTCACCCGTCATGGCGCTCGGATACACTGATATTTCGACACGCAGTCAGCACAGGCTCCCCACCGCTCATCAAAAGAGAGAGAGAGAGAGAGAGAGAGCGCAAAAAAAGAGACCACCAACTCACCACCCGGCGCAATGACATTACTCCTCACCCCCCACGGCGCCAACAACGTCGCCAACATCTTCCCCACATGCACCGCCGCCGCCTTGCTCGCGCTGTACGCCACCCCCGCCGTGACCTGCCGATTGAACCCCGCAATACTCGCCACCGTCACAATCTGACTGAGCCTCAAATCGCCCCCATCAACCTCTCCCCCACCTGCCTCAACCTTCCCCCGGCCCCTCGTCCTCCCCCCCTCCACCCTCCCCGCCTCCCACCCCCGCCGCGCGTTCCCCGCGTCCAACAGGTGCAAAAACGCCGCCGACACGAGTGCCACGCTCGCCGTGTTGACGCGCAGCGTGTCGAGCCATTCGCCATCGCCACCATCGTTTCCATCCGCAAACCCCGTCAACAGCACATCCTGCAGCTCAGCCACGCTCGCCGCCTCCAGCGCCGCCTTGTTCGGCGGGCCCGTCTTGCCGGCGTTGTTGATCAGGACGTCGAGGTGGCCGACGTCGCGCTCGATGCGCGCGGCGGCGGCGGCGACCGAGGCGCGGGAGGTGACGTCGGTGGGGAGGGCGATGACGATGGGGTTGTCGGTGGACGATGAGACTTTGGCGTTGAGGGTCGCGGCGGCGGTGGAGAGCACGTCGGCGCGTCGGCCGAGGAGGTAGATGCGTTTGGCGCCGGTTTGGGCGATGGCCGAGGCCATGGCGAGGCCGATGCCTGGGGAGGTGGGGGGGGGAAGTGGTTAGTTGGAGTTGGGGTTGAGATGCGGGAGCTGCTGGGTGTGGGGGGAAGGGGGGGAGGAGGGGGAGGGAGGCAAGTGTTTTTGTTGTTGTTGTTGTTTTTGCGTACCGCTACCGCCGCCGGTGATGGCGACGACTAGGCCTTTGGCGCTGAGGATGTTGTTCGGGTCGACGGTGGTGGTGGGGTCCATGGCTGGTTGTCTTGGTCGTGGTGGCGCTGAGGTACGGAGGGTTGCACGAGAGTCAATGGATTGAGGCAAGCTGGGAAGAGAGCTTGGAGATTGGATTGGGTTTTGTGCGAGAAAGAAGCGGGCTCTTTGTGAGTCAAATAGCACCAGTCATTATGCCATGCCTCCCCCCTCACGTCGGCGGGATCTAAAAGGTGGGGTGTGATGACAATTGTGCTTCGAGCCGTCAATCACGTCACGGTTGAAGCTTGCCCTGTTAGCTGCTTCGGGCCGCGGGCTGGCGTCTGCTTCGTCGCTCATCATCCTCGCCCGACGCCAATCAGCCCCTCCCCCACCTTCCGCATTCGATTAGCTCCCCACGGAAATCTCAGGCCCTCGGACGGCGGAGCGTTGCGCTTTGCCAGCCGAGGTAGCTCAGTACCCGGTTTGGTTTTTACAGCCTTCTGCCTCGAAGTTTTGATGTTTGATACCACTGCTCAAGCACGTCTGCCCCAGCTTGACCTCGACGAATGCTACATTTTCTCACTCTTTACGCGGGTATCTCGAGCAACTCCCTCAGCACTTCCTCCACCTTCTTCGCCTCAACCCTGCCGTCATCTCCCCGCCGCACCGTCTGCCCCACAAGAAACATGAGTTTCCCAGTCTGCCCTTTCTCCTTGATTGCCGTGATCGTGTCTGGGTTGTCGTTGAGCACCTCCTGCACCAACGACAGGTACTCTTCTCTCGTCATTGGAACCAACAAGAGCTTCTCCTCTTCGACGATGCGCTCGACAGGCCGCTCGTCGCCGTAGAATACCTTTGAAAGGAGTTGCTTCGCAGTCGGCCCCGTGATCTGGCCCCGCAGCGAGTGAAGGATGATGGATGCGAGCTGCTCGGCTGGGACGATGTCGTCGGACCAATCGACATCTGCGCTGGTCATCAAGCCACCCAGTTCCATAAGCACCCTGACGTCGGTTAGCTTGGTGTGTAAAGTACGCTGACGACCTGACACGTACCAGTTGCCAGCAGCCTTGCCCGCCTTGAACGACACCCGCTCTTCCGCCGTCATCTGCTGGTTCAGCTTCTCCACGACATCGAGATAGTAATCAAGCCGATCGCCCGCATCCAACCCGACCAGCGTCTTCGCATCCTTCACACTCAACCCATACCTCGGATCCCCCATGAGCATATCAACCACCTCGTCCGGCAACGCCGGCAGCGTTTCTCGCAGATGCCGCACGAGATCCTCCCCCACGACCACCGGCCCCAAGTCCGGATCAGGCATGTACCGGTAATCGACCTCGCCCTCCTTCCCCCTCAACTTCCTCGTCTCTTTACTCCCCAGCGTCCACCCCCTCGTCTCGCCCTCCACCACGCCCCCCGCCTCCAGCACCGCAATCTGCCTGTCCCTCTCCGCCACAATCGCCTCCTCCACCGCCTTCAAACTGCTCAGATTCTTAATCTCCGTCCGCTGCCCCAACCCCTTCACCCCGCCGTACTCCCCCCCGCCGTACTCCCCCCCGCCGGGCTCCCCCCCGCCGGGCTCCCCTGCGCGCCTCTGCCGCACGCTGACATTGACATCAGCCCGCAACCCGCCCACCTCCATGCCGGCGGTGACGGCGCCGACGTTCTTGAGCACGTGCTGGATCTTGCGCACGCAGGCGGCCGCGGTGCGCGCGTGGTGCATGTGCGGCAGCGTGATGATTTCGACGAGCGGGTGCGACACGCGGTTGAAGTCGAGCAGGTGCGTCTTGGCGGGCGGCTGCGCCGTCGTCTTGGCCGTGTCCTGCTCCATCTGCACCTGCTTGATGCCGATGGTGACGGACGCGCCGTCGCGCGCGTCGATGCCGTCGTGCGCGTGCAGCGTGATGTGGCCGTCGCGGGCGAAGGGCTCTGTGGGAGGGAAGACACGTGGGTTAGTATGCTGCTGGTGCTGATGGGGTGGGATTGCTGCGTGGGAGGGGGGTGTGGGTACCGTAGTATTGGGTGATCTGGTAGCCTTGCGGCTGGTCTTGGTAGAAGTAGTGTTTTCGGTCGAAGCTGCTCTTGGGCTGGATGTGGCAGCCCAGGGCGAGGGCGGCGCGCAGGGCGGGGATGAGGGTCTCGGGCTGGAAGTGCGGCTGGGTGCCCGGGAAGGCGACGTCGAAGGGGGCGACGTGGGTGTTGGGCGGGTCGGCGGTCGAGGTGGCGGCGGTGGAGAACAGCTTGCGGGCGGTGTTCAACTCGGCGTGGATCTCGATGCCCACGGTCAACTCCCACTTCTCCAGCAGCGGGTCGGCTGCTTCGTTGTTTTTGTTCTTCTTGGCCTTCTTGCTGCCGGCTTCGGCTTTCTTGCGCCGCTCCTCGTCCTTGAGCTGCTTCCTGAAGGGTACGACGTCATTGTGAAGGCGGGCGGCGGCGTGCAGGTGGCGGGCGGCGGGCTGAAGGGCAATTGGGCGGGCGCGGGGCGATTGGTGGAGGCTACGCAGGCATGATTGACATATGTAGGGCTTCGGTCGGAGGGCGGCGTGGAGCAGGCTTCGTGAGCGGGTGGGAAGCGTGGGAAGCATGGTTGCGGAGCTGCCGTGTCGGACAAGCTCGCGCCTTTTCTGCTCCTGCCTCCCGGCCCGAGCTCCCGCCCCAGAAATCCTACCCGACGATTAGACGTCACTCGAGGGAAACATAGCGTCTCGAATGGTGACGATGCTATGGTAGAAGCTCGCAAGATTGATGAGACCGAATACGTCAAAGTGTGCAGTAAGCTTCGGAAACTTCTAGTGGAGCCGGATCCAACAGGCGCAATATGGCATGACTGCCATTGTTGGGAGCTGCAATCATTCCACTGCATCGAACTTCGAACATACAGCTACAAATCTGTCCCTCGTGCTCGATGAGGACACGATGTATGTTCGTCCTGACATCGCTTGAACTGACTTCAACCAATTCGAGAACCAAAACTCATGTAAGCCTCTAAAATTTTGAAAAATAAGATATCAGACACTCAAGACAGACTAGCTTAATGACCTTAAAAACCTTAGCTTGGCGCTGTTTTTCGGAACATACTACGAGACTTAAAGAGTAAGGCCATTGATGCCTAAAACCGATCTTCCATACCAAGGGAGACGCATAAACGTAAATGAGAGAGGATGGTTAAGGAAAACAGGACTTTCTCCGGAAAACAGCAAACAGACGAGACCAGAGCCGATTGGGTCGGTAGCGGGGGCAATATATGGAGTATAAAGGAAACGAACGGTATAGGAGAAACTACCATACAGGCTGTACTTTAAAAGGTGATCCCAGGGAATAAAGTCTTCAGTCTAATGGAGGTGTCCGAATCTTCCATGCAAAGCATTGCCTAGGCCTGCACTGACTATAAATAGCCCGGGTGACCAATTCGCACACACATGAATTTCCTGTTCTTTGAGTATTTTCTCATATTTGTCCTGAGTTGTCACGCACTTCCAAACTGCGGCGGTATTGCTGTGTCGACAAGAAGGGATATCTTTTTTTCTTCGACCAAAAAAATCGTGTGAGAATAACATATGTAAAACGGAATCGATGTTTCTAATATATACATTTCGAAATTGCGTTCAAACGACGACGCATCTGATTATTTTTGGTGAAACACGGCCACCATTCGTGTAACAAGGACGTCCAGCACACCTAGTTGGTACCAAAGCGCTGGTTCAACACGGTCGTCGAGTTGCCAACCTGACTGCAAACGTAATCGTTTGCGCCATTGCCACCCGCACGGCAGTACGTGGGCACCGCAAGACTTCCATTCACAACGGAGCTACAAGAAACAACAAAGTCAGCACCCACCGCTCTCTCATCTCTGCGCTTGCAGGGATCTCTCGGAATATCAACTCACTTCATGCCAACCTCCCTCGTGATGGTCAAGTTCCAAGTATCCGCCGTCTCCAGCTCCGAGATCTGGAAGTAGTAGTTGTACGCGCCGCCCGTGCACTCGGTCATGCGGGGGTAGACGAGGGCGGTCGAGTCCGTCTGCGAGCACTTGGCGCCGGCGGGCGCGATTGTGAAGGAGGCGGCCTGGGTGCCGTTGTTCTTGCGCACCGACAGGTTCTGGATGGCGACGACGTTGGGGTCGGCGGCCAGCGGGACGGCGGCGGCGAGGCTGGCGAGGCCGGCGAGGAGGAGGGTGGCGGGCTGCATTTTGTTTTTGGTGGGAGGGATGGAGTTTGTTTGTGTGGGTTGTGGAGTGGATTGCGGGTTGGGGTTGGATGTATGTACATAGCTGGTTATATATCGTGGGCTTTGGCGTCAGGCGTGACGCCCCTCAATGGTGCATGCGAGAGGGAATAGGCAAGCCACCGTTGTGCAGGATATACGAGGGCCATGAATTGGCAGCGGCTCGAGCGTTGTAAACCTTGCCAGTGCTACTTGAATGATAGCGTAGTATTTTTGTACGTAGCGGTGCGCTTCTCCGCTAACGGGCTTGGTGCAGCGGTGCCACAGACCAGAGGATGGTCAATGGAGGCAAGCACACCTCCGCTTTTTGTGTGCGGAAAGGGATGAAACAGGGCTGTGTGCCCTACCACCGCAGTTTCCCTGCAGATCAACCACAGCCCTCGGCAATTGGGCAGGTTGTGATGTCATGCAGGGTCCTTGAGCTTAAGATAGAAGCACACGTCCGGGTCCGGAAAGGCTGTTGCATCTGTTCGTGTTTGGGACTCGACCGACCTTCTGAGGCAAGGTGACAAGACGCTAGCCAAGGCTGTGACGTCGAGCATTCAGCGATCAGCTTTGCCGTTTGCTATTTTCAACCTGACCACTGACACAGAGAAATTTCAGAGACCGGGGTACAGAATGAAAGTTGAGTCGCGCAACTCGCACTCTTCGCTGGCTTGTCTGCTTCCTTTAATCTTCAACTTCTCAAAGTGCTGATCCGCGAGCCGTCGGCTTCCGGCGTCATGGCCGATCAGTATATCCGGTAATAGTTGTGTCCTGCCCCATGACAAGACAACTGAAAATGTAGGACTTCTCCACACAGTCTCACTCACCTGAGAACCATTTAACCGGCGGATCCACAGCCATTTTCGAATCAAGACACGGCAACAATACATACGAACATATCATCTTGCATGGACACAGGACCAAAGTTGAGAAAGAGGAAGATCGGCAAGACATGTCGACCATCACGATAAAGCCCCCTTCAACTCAACGTTGCTAGCATTTCACGAGCGCTATCAACAAATGATCTTCACCCACGCTGGCCCCCAATCTGACAGCAGTATTCGGGCAACACCAGCCCGGTCATGCGGCATGCCCCATCACCCATTCTTAGCCGTCTCCACCGCACGATGGCTACGCATTTGGCATCCATGCCGAGGGCCATCGGCGCGACACTTGTAATACTTGGGAAATACTACTCCCACGGAGAAGAGATTGCTGACCTTTTTTGTTTCTTTTTGCGTTGGGGGACGGTCACAGGAGCTTCCACAAGGCCATTTCACCAGCCCCTTACGTCATCCGGGCGGCCTCTCAACAAGCCTCGCGCTGCCAAATATGCCTCATGTACGTCTGTAGAGAAGCCGACTTCTGGGAGGTTGCCGCGGCCACCAAAGCCCACATCTCAACGGGGGGCGCGAGGAGCTTGAGGAGCTTGCACACCCTACGAGCGTCGTTTGACTGACGACCCCGACCTGTGAAAAGAAGACGCATCTGTTTTCCCTGGTGTGTTTAAGGCTGACACACCTGTACGGCTCTTCCAGCAACCAATGATAGACACATTATGCTTGATAAACTATTTTTGTCCTTTTTTTCAGCCTTGGTTGTACAACAGGCCCCACCCCGTTTGTATTCAGCCGGTATAAAGCGAAAGAAGACGCACAATGTTGTGGTCGCATCAAACATCATGCCGACTCACTACAAACAGCCCCCATCTCGTGTCAGTTCCATGGATCGTGTCGACCGTGGCTCGAGTGAGATCGATGAGCCGTTCATCGACACGAGGCCCGATGAACGAAACGAGAAACCAACAGACGATGGAGAAGATGGTATGAGAAGAAAGTTTCGAAACTACATCAAACGCAAGTGGAACTCGACCAAACATTTACTGGATGACAAGCCCTACAAGGTGAAAGACAGTTGGGGAAACTTCTTCTGGCATTTGTCGAAAAGGCTGCTCACCACCTATATTCTCTTGAGGTATGTCGAAGGTCCTCTACGAAACACGATGCGACTAACGTCAGGCGAACAAAGTGCCATTGTGTTTGGTGCCGCGGGAACAAGCTTCAACATAACGAAGTTCACGTTATGGAAGAAGGTTCAAATTGACCAAGATATCCAGCTTGCAGCATTCGGCATAATCAACACCATTCTCGCCCACATGGTCAGAGACTCACTGGCCCACATAGCCGACACGCTGGTTACAAGGCGGATGGTCTCGGAGAAGGGGCGTGGAGCTACCGTCTTGGACTTCGAGATGAAAGAAGAGCTCACCAAGCCCTGGATCGCTGTCTCTACCTTCTACTCTAGGCGCAAGCAAACCGGCTGGACCGCCCGAAATATCCTTCGCCTTGCTCTCAGCTTCACCATAGGCGCATGCCTCTTGTTGCAAGGCGCTGGAATAAACACTGTCGGCATGCCCAAGACACGGTGGTGGCCTGACACCAGATACGTCAATCCCAAGCCAGGTGACAACCGTTTCTTTTTCAGCAACAAGACCATGCGTGTTGCCAACGTCAGTAGAATGGCGGTATGGGACCGCTCCTGGAACATGATCCGGGAGGGCGGCGACATGTCCTGGGAACTAGTGAGTCAGGCTTTCGTCGAGAGCATATGGTGGTCTAATCGATGCGTTCCAGGCCCACACATTTGGCGCAATTTCCATCCTTGAGTCTCTCGAGCAACTGTACGAAACATCAACTTACAATGCGGGCTGGTACCCTATCGGCAACAGTGGAGGGCCAGTGCAAGCCGTGCTCAACGTAACGGATACGCCTACTCGATCCATCCAAGCTGCCTCAATCAACGGGAAAGCGACTGCAGAAATGTGGGATGAGCAAAGAGCATCCGGGCCGCCATGGGCTCGGCGAGCTCTTGGATGGTACGCAACCCTGAAACTAACTTCGCTCCTCCTCGACACAGCGTGCATCGAAGCGCCGGGCCATCCGGTCGGATCTTGGGAGGCATCATCCACCCACAACGGCACAATCATCCTGACCATCGGCCCCATGACCGAGGAAGACGATGACTTTCCAGGCGCTACATGTACAACATCCATCGAACAAGTCCTGATCAGTAAGAGACATCCCTCCCCCCCTTCATCTTCAACAACGACCAACCCAAAAACCAGCAATACAGCAATGGATCATCGACGACGACATCGATCGCTCGCGCCCTGCCTGGAGCATCGACAACTGGGGCGCGTGGGCCTACCCAGCCATATCCCCGCTCCCCTCCGCCCCGCCCACCTCCAGCATCGCCGCCGAACTCGCCTCCTGGTTCAACGCCATCTCGCCCACCCTGCAGCGCCTCACGACAACCAACACCACCACCACCACCACCACCACCACCCCCGCCCCCTTCACCGCCCTCGCCCTCCACCTCGCCACCGCCCTAACCCCGCCCACGCCACTCAACACGTCCACCACCACCACCACCACCACCCACGGCCTCTCCACCCTCACCGCCGTCCTCCTCTCCCACACCCTCACAACCCTCACCTGGACCTTCGACGACCTCCGCCCCCCAAACACAACCACCAACCCCCCACTCCCACCCACCCTCCAAGGCCCCATCCGCTGGAAAATCTACGGCTCCGGCCCGCGCCTGCAATGGCAATGGGCCATATCCGCCGTCATCGGCGTGACCGCCCTGGTGCAGCTCTTCGACATCTGGCTGCTGCTGCGGCACCGGCAGGCGAAGGGGTTGTGGCTGGGGCTGGGCGGCATGCTGGTGGCGGCGAACGCGGCGGCGCGGATGGGAGGGGGCGCGGTGGCGCCGCGGGGGCAGGGGGCCGGGTTCGTGGGGGAGCGGGGGAGGGGCGTGAGGTATTTCGTTAGGGAGAGGAGGGGGAGAGGTGGGGAGGGGAAGGGGGAGGGGGATGGGGACGAGGATGGGGACGGTGGTGGGGTGGCGACGCTGGTTAGTGGGTGTGAGTTGATGGTGGGTGCTCATGGGGATGGAGCCGGGGCGGCGGGGTATAAGACGTTGGATGCGGGGGTTGAGTATGGAGGTTAGGGGTGGGTGGACTGGCTGGACGGATGTAGGAGCCTCCCGGATCCCGAGGACGTGCACACGTGAGTTAAGGGGTTAAGTTTTATTTTTGGTAGATATAGGATATGAGCTTTTCTCTACTTATGTTAAATAGTTCTCGATATATGTTATTTTGGTGTGAAGGAAGAAGAAATTCAAGCCAGCTTTGGTTAAGCTTTCTAGCTAGAGATCATTCTCCGGAAGCGTTTTGTTACGGAATTAGGAACCGCAAACAACACTCACACAGAATACAAAACCGAATTGGGCTTAGTCCTATATCTAGATACACACAGTCCTTGTCAACTATACAACCCTTCCACGGGTTAATACACTAAGGTGTAACACTGTACAAATTCATCATAAGTAACGAGACTATTTGCATTGTTTTGATTAAGATAGCCCTCTAGCATCCTATTCTTTCGCCTGTCCAGTAAGGTGCCACATCGAAAGGAAGGGGCAAAGTCAACGGTTTAACAGTTCCACTACTGGGACCTGGAGGTGCCTTCAAGCTCGGCAAATGTAAGCCAGCGGAAACCAGCTTCACAATTACCCAGGTTTGAAACAGGTTAATGTCCTCATCAAGCAGCTTCAAAATAGATGTATTTTTGCGTGCGGTGAGTATCGATCCCCTATCCGCCTTCCGCGAGTAGGAGCGGTTTGTACTGAAGGAGAATCTTCTTCAGAAATCGGTGAACTCACGGTCTACATGATGATGCCTTTGAGTATTTTGCCAACCAGATGAATATTTTATTCTTCGAGCATTGGTAGCCCATGAAATGCGTCCATAGCTAATCTATGGGAATTGTACGATAGGGTATACGACGTCTTGATAAACCACGAACCCGGCGGCGCATCCCAAAGCCACACCCAAGTCCATTAAACCTGCATTACGAGTAAGCGCGGGCAACAATTGCGGGACTCCACAGCGAGATATTTTGACGATGCGATGGTAGTAGCTTCATTTATTACTCATGTATATTGAGTGTAGATCCAATGTCCGCATGGCAAATGACCTTCTTCCTCACGTTTCCTCGTTCCAAGTAGCACCCAGAATAAAGACTTAGCAGAAGAAGAAGGGGAAGAAAGCCATGCTCTTCACGCATTTCGTTCTCGGGGACATGTATGACCAAGAGGCTGACGAGTAATTGCCATCCCAGCTTAGATAATCCCCTTGCTTCTCCTCCAAAGGCCTTAAGATTGATTAAGAGACGTTGGGTGACTGTGGATTCCCAGCCAGCCTTTTAAATAAACGAAATAGTGTCGGCTCACCACATCACGATCAGTAACACAACCGTGCGTGTGCAACGGTGCAACTCAAACACAACGTTTCATCCATTTAGCTTTTTGTGTCAGTTTTCCGGGTATTTCAATCCCCCTTCCATCCAACAGCGCATCCCCGCATACATTTACCACGCCCTCCTCCTGCCAAACACCCTCAGCCTCTTCACACCGCCATCAGGAATGATGACCAGCTTGACGTGCGAGTACGCCTTGACGGCGACATCCTTCAGATCCGCCGCCTCAAACTCATGCTCCTCATCCGGCCTCGCCGGCGTCGGCTCCAAAATCTCCACCCACCCAGCATCATCATGCGTCGGCTCCGACGAATGCCCCTCAAACTCGCCCGCAAACACCTGAAACTCCTTCGGAAAGTTCCCCCTGAAATGCGCCGTATCCACCACCACCTTGTCGATCTCCCCGGGCGTCCCCAGCCTCACAATCACCCAATCCACATGCTCGCCCCTCGTCCGCTTCGTCTCCCAGCCATCCCCCATGTCCACGCCCCTGCCCGGCAACAACAAGTTATCCTTGGTCCCGAAATGCTGATCCGAGCAGCCCACCGCGCGGCCGCCATTCTTCGCCGCCGCCAAATCAAACGTGTCGTCCGCCCCCTCCGGGAACACCGGCACCGGCACGCCGTACGCGCGAAACCTCGCGATGCCGCCGTCCGGAAACATCTGCAGCCGCACGTGCGTGTACTGCTTCTCCGTCTCCTTCTCCAGCCGCCAGGCCTGCCGCCGATCGGGCCCGCACTCCTGCCGCGGCAGCACCGTCTCCCACCCGCCGAACCCTTCGTCCTTGACGAGCTCGTCCGCGTCGTCGTTGCTCCCCGCGAAGAAGGCCTGCACCGCGATCTCGGGCGCGTGGTTGCCCGAAAAGTGCGCCGTGTCGACCTCGAAGCCGCGGAACTTGCCGGACGCGACGCCGAGTTTGATGACGGCCCAGTCGAAGTCGGAGGGGTTGTGCCGCCGCGTCTCCCAGCCGTCGTACCAGGCGCCGGCGTGGGTGAAGACGCCGGGCTTGCGGATGGGCGGCGTGCGCGTCGTGAGGTTCGAGGCCGAGGCGAACCATTCGTCGGAGACGGCGAGGATTTCGGAGCCGAGGGGCTTGGAGATGAGGTCTGTGGGGGAGGGGTTAGGTCGTGGTTGGGGGGAGAGGGGTTGGGGGAGGCGGAGAAGACGAGGAAGGGAGCGGAGAAGACGAGGATGGCGGAGAAGGGCGGGGATGAGGAGAATGGGGGAGAAGGCTTGAGGGAGGGAGCGGAGGGAGGTTGGAGGGGGAGAAAGACGCACCGATGCTGTTGCCGGAGAAGACGGTATCGAGCTCCTCCACAGCAACCTTCTGGATCGGATCACTCGACGAGAAACCGAACATGGTGGAAGTAGTTTACGACAAGGACGAATTGGAGGGAGAAGGCGAAGGAAGAATCCCAAAGTGGTTTGACCGCTCAGCGAGGACCGACTGTTTCGTGGACGAGGAAGAGAGGAGGGACGAACGGAGAGAGAGAGAAGACGGGGATTGATATAACCTTCACCGTTTCTAGGTAGAACCAGCAAAAAAAAGGGCCCGTGGCCCAGATGGCGGGGCAGCTTTCGACCTACCAATAATCCCCCCTCGCTACACTACTACTGGGCCGTCCCCTTCACCGCTCGGCCCCCGCCGACACACGACCGGCCGCCCGCGAGCGACGTCGAACAGCCCGCGCCCAGTGCCGCCCCGGCTTCGCCCCCTCCTCGGCTCATCCGTGCCGTGCGGTCAGCTCAGCTCCATCCCCAGGGCCAGAGGGAAGAAGAACGAAAAAAGTCTCAGAGAACTAAACGAGGTCGCCCACACCGCACTACCGTCCCGGCGGCATGACGTGACCGTGCGGGCTGATTGTGCGGTGTCGAGCTGGCGCTGGCCGCCGCGCATCGCCTGCCTGCATTCTTTTGCGCCTGCGCGCGCCGACACATGAAGCGCCGAGAGGCCCGCGCGCGCCCGTCTCGTCCCCGGCCTGTTGTCCACGCTCGATCCAATCGAGTAATACTTACTCCACGGCCCCGGATAACGACTGCGCCTTGCGAAAGAAAAAAAAAAGCACGCCCTGCGCCTCCCGCCAGATCCGTAGCCCATCAGCCCCGGGTGGGCCCCTTCCCCCTCCTCAGCCAGCTGTGTGTCAATCACAGTGAGTCCGGGCGGACAAGTCCCCGGGCCGTGAATTGTGCGAGATAACGATATCATAATTATTAACTCCCGTCCTTTCCGAGAGCGGCCAAGACGGACGCAGACGCTACCCGTCTATTCCGATGCTTCGTAACATTCCAGATACCGCTGTTGCTGCTGCTGCTGCTGCTGCTGCTGCTGCCGAAAACATAGAGAGAGAAAGAATGCGTGTCCCCCCAACAACCCCCCGAAGACACGACGCGCTGCTGCTGGTGCTGTTGCCGAATCCTGCCGTCACGTCCGCGCACTTCGTATAGCTGATCACTTCGTATAGCTGATCTACCGTCCTTGCCGTCCTGCCGTCCTGCAGTCCTGCCCTCCGGCCCATCCGGCCCGACTCCGCTCTATAGTCTAGACAACCCCATATACCCTAGGAGAAAGAAACGAAGCCATTAGCTACGCTCTCTCCATGAACCATTGCAAAACGCATGCTGAAATGACTGGGGGGGTTGCGCGCAATCAAAACGTGTTCGTAGTATACACCAAAGCAGGGGAGGAGGAGAATTATGGACGAATAGAGACTGTGTACACTCTAGAGGAATTGCATGTTCAGGTACCTTTTACAGATGAAGAAACATGTGAAGCCGAACATGATGAGGAAGGCGGTGATGCCCCAGAACCAATACAGGTTCTCCACCTCCTGCCCGGGCACCTGGACGTTCATACCCCACATGCCCGTGACGATGTTCATTGGCAGGACGATCGTGCCCAGAACCGTCAGCTTGCCGAGCACGTCGTTCGTCTGCTCCGCGCGCTCGTTCATTCGGATGTTGATCTGCGCAAGGTAGTTGCCGTGCGCGCGTGAAAGAAGGCTGCCCGGGTTAGTTCTCTTCGTCGCGCCAGACCTCTGGAAAACTCACCTCTCGTAGTGACTCAGGTTGCCAGTCATCGTGATGATGTGGTCCTGGATGTCGCCCAGATACAGCCCAATCTCTGTCTTGGGTGCAACCTCCCATTGCTCGTTGCATCTCTTGGCGAATCCCTTGATGACATCCGCCTTGTTGCCCAGAAGCCTGTACAGCGCCATCACCTTCTTCCTGGTCTCTCCCACTCTTCGAAGCATATTGCCACCCGATTCACCCGCTGTCCCATCGCCGTACTCGGACTGCTTCTCGTCTCCGAACTCTCGTAGCATTTTCTTCAGTTTGCTGCTGTCTCCATCCGTCACCGGTCCTGCTGTGTGCATCCGGAGTATGTGATCGTCAATGTCATCGACTTCGTCCTCAATGCCCTGGATAAGCGGAGCGTAGACGTCAGTGATGTCATCAATGATCGCGTACGCAATCCAATCAGAGCTGAGGATCAAGTAGTCGCGCAGCTGGCGGATCCGACGGCGGACGTTGGCCATGTGGGGAGTCATGGAGAAGTGAATCTGGCGCCAGTCAGTACTGCTTGTTCGAGCTCGCTATCATGACAAGCACTGATGGTGCTGTGAAATACTCACGCTGATGACTCCTTCCCTGAACACGATGAAATATATGTTCACCGGCTCCAGGTAGTCCTCGCTGTTGGTGTCCTGCTCGAAAGTACGGTAGTTCACAAAGTAATAGTTGTGGAACAGTTCGACCTTCTCGCGTTGCTCCTGCATCATCACGTCCTCGTGTGTGAGAGGATGGATGCCAAACGCTCGCGTCAGAGCCTTCATTTCGCCTTCCGTGGGAGACATGACATCGAGCCAGAACACAGGTCTCGCGCCGTAGCGTTTCTCCTTTGTCTTGGGCGTGTACGATTGCGTGGGCGTCCCTTCCCCGGCCGTGTTCTCGCCCGATGAGTTGTTGGCCCTTGGGTTGCTGACCCGCGAAGCTCGCGAAGCCCGCGAAGCTTGCCTTGACATTTCTGACCCAAGCATCGGAGATGCTGCAAGCCTCCTGTTGAAACCGTTGGCATGAGTGGGGACGTCGTCCTCCTCATCCGAGCTGTCGTCGGAGAGAATGGGAGGTTCTGGGATGAAGAGATCGCGGAAGCTCTGGCCCTCTTGGAGAAGCTCGGACAGAGTATGACTGTGCAGGGTACTCTGGAATTCCTCGTTGAAATATGTGAATCTGAAGGGGGCATCGTCGTCCTCGCGGTGCCATGCTCTCTTCTGCGGACGAAGCCTGCCATCGACGAGAAGCGGCTCGCTGACCTTACGTGCCCGAATCCCCTCAATAGTGCGCTGCTCCTTTTCTTGCGTGGCCCACTCCTCGAGCGCCGAGATGTTTGGCCACGCCTTCTTTCTCCTCCTGCGAGACTTTGTGGGGCCTTCAGTCGGGTGCGTGTACTCTTCGCGGCCGATATCAGACATCAGATCCTGCGGGAAACACACATCCCGCTCGGCCGGGTGCTCATCCAGGTGGCTCGATCCGTGCCTTGGCGATCCCGGGGACGAGCCCCTGGGGCTGCGCACGGCACTCTCGTCGTCTATCTCGATGAGAACATCTCGCGACAGTGGGCCAGGCTCACGCTCCAGATCGCGCGACCTTTGCCGGTCGAGTTGGCCAGTGAGCATGACATCGTCAAAGCCCATGTCCGACTCTATCCGGGGGCTGCCGGGCACCGAGGGCGGATTGTTGACGTCGTAGTCGTCTTGTTTCTGCTGGTTCGTGCCCGGCCGAGAGCCAGCCCGCTTCCGCTTGCTGGAGGCGGACGAAGCACTGGACTTGCGGCGCATGCGGTCGGCAAAGCGGATCACAGGGGATCCGATGGACGACAAGCCTCCGTAACCGCCAAACCTCGGACTTTCCCGGTTCACGGACGCGCCCATCAGCGGTGTCTGGTCGTCTGCGCTATCGTCGTCCTCGTTTCCTGCGCGCTCTGCTCGCGACAGCTTAGTGCGGGAGCCCTCGGAACGTTTGGTCGTGGGGAAAGGGAAGGCAGTCGACGGACGGTGGCTTGGCGAGCCTCGGTTATAAGGTTGGCTGGAGCGCGGGCTGTAGAAACCGCTTTGCATGATGCTGTGTCGGCGGGCCTGAAGGGGACCTTGGTCTCTGGGGAAGCTGTCAGCTATCATGGCAACCGGGTGGCTAGTGCATGGGTCACGATGTCTCTTACCGGTGATCGAGTAGCGCCTCACTCTCCAGACTAGTGTTGCTGCCCTTGTTGCGCAGGCGGTAGAAGCTGCTGCGCACAGCCTCTTCGCTCGTCACATCGGCCAAGGTGGGGCGGTCGGGGCCTATGTCTGACGGGACATCGGTATGGTCTTCGGATGGTGGTGCGGCGAAGGACTGACGTCTTCTCCTCTTCTTGCCGCCGCGGTGCTTGCGTCTCTTGGTGGAGCCGCCGGGAGTGCGGGACTCGTCCTGGTCGGGGGTGGAGGCGGTCGGTTGAGCCATGACGGAGCTAATTGAAGGTTGAGCCGGCGCAGCGCTACCGCGAGGTGCGGTGGGAGCGGTGGAGGATTCGCCGGGGTAGTCGCGCGACGCCATTGCTGCGTGAGCGGCAGAGCTGGGGCGGCGAGGTGGGAGGTCGAGGGGTGCAGCGAGCTATGGGCGCAGCATACCAGTGTATAGCAGGCTGCAGAGTAAGGGATGAGGAGGTGGAAGGAGAGGAACAGGGTGCGCAGGGTGGTGGATGAAGAGTGCCGGCAGCCGCAGGTCAGCGAACGCGCCCTGGTCAGGGTTGACGTAGTTTGAACTGGCTGGAAGCTGGCCCGAGCGAGTCGATGATCGCCGCGATGCGCACTCCAGACTCGACACCCCGGCTTGAATCGAAGCGCCCGCGCAGGACGGTGCAGAGTTTTCCGGCGACAAAGAAGCCGTCGGCGCGGCGAAGCAAGGAGACGGCGTGTCTTTGACTGTGTTTCAGGCCAAATTTCTCAGCCCGCGTCGCTTGGAACGATGCACTCCACTCTGCTCCTCTGTGGGCTCTAGCTGCAACTGGGCAAAGCCGGCAGCTCAGGCCAGGAAAGATTTGCACCATCCGCGGTGGGCTGAGTGCGGAGACCGGCCGCTCCACACGTCATTGGACCGCTGTTCCAGCTTAGCACACCAACAAAGTTACCGAAATCTCGATTTGAATTCCAATCTCTATCGTCTTGGTCGTCTATCAATCAGCCTGCGCACTGCCTGCGGAATGCCAGTCCCCGCCGGCTCAGGCTGTTTCCGTTCCGCCCGCGGCCGAGCTACCATTCTGGGGCCGGCGAGCCGAAAAAACACTGGGGAGAGCTGTCGTTGATCATGCTGGGACCTCGGCCGATTCCTGGAGCAGCGGCCTCCTCTCTGCCGCATCTGCTTCGTCCCGCGACACACTAGAGGCAACGGTAAGTAAGCTGACAGATGCAGACGACAAGCATGCCATGCACTTACGGGATAGCCACAAACCCAATGAAGGCAAGCATGTAGAAGCATCCGAGGAACGCGAGGATCCACTCGAAGATGCCCGCCAGCCGCCAGTGCCCCGTGTACATGAAGCCCGTGAAAATCAGACCCATGACCACCTCCAAGAAGACGATGAAGGCGCTGAATGCGGAGCTGTGGATTGGTCAACGCTTTATGCTCAGGATTGCATCGGCGGCAGACGTACTAGAATCTCAGTTCTCGGAATTTGGACGGTCTCACTGTCTGGTCGAAGTAGACTATCGTCGTGGTCAGAGCTGACAGAGCTAGGCCCGCGAAGCAGATCAACAACAGAATGTGATGCTCTTGGTGGTAGCGGAAGGTGTCCATGACAGCCAACAAGATGAGTCCGACACCGGCCACCACACCGGATATCATGGCCACCACCGACAGCCACTTTCTATGCCACAAGTCATCGATACCGTACATGCGGTGGTCTGGCGACACGGGTTAGCTGGAGAATCGATCAACAGTGGCTGAAGACCGACCATAGCGCGCAAAATGCACAGAGCACACGGTGCCAATGAAGGCGAATGCAGTAACGGAGGCACCAATCAGGAAGAAGGGTTTGAGCATGAAAGCGGCGATGTCAGAGATGAATCTAGTGGCGCTCAGTTAGACCAGCGCTCCAAAAACAAGCACTTCCTACTCACGCGACATCGGGGTTCGACTGGCCCGGGTATCGTGGCGTTCCTTTAGCAATCCATGTTACAAGCAACACGAACAGTGTGATGAACCAGGTGACTCCGGAGATCAGAGGCAGCACCCAAAGCCGATGCAAAGGAAAAAGGACAGCCATGCTCGCTCCACACACGCGCGACGAAGCTTGGGAAATTCAGAGGAAATGTGCGGCCAAAACGTTGGGGGTGGTACAGCAGTTAAAGAAGTCGCAAAGAACAAGGCGCAAAGGGTCAGATGGCCAACCGACGACGATCGATTGCCGATGCAAGCGCGCACATCGCCCGATGATGAAGATATGGTCACCGCTAACACGCAGAACACATTGCAGCGACTGTGCTTTCATCTATCTAACGCTTGTAACTCTGCAGGGCAGGATAGAGAAGTCACGAAAAGGTACCCCGGCTATTTCATGTGATGGAAGCCATCATGGACGTGGAGATGGCGCCTCAACGACTGCACGTTCCAATCAAGGCGATGACGCAAGGCTCGCCGATCGGGCACCTCCGAAGTCCCCGCCTGCACCGACAGGGATGTCGTACGCGCCAGTCTTCCAAGATCCCCCTCTCCAAAAAACATCACCACCACCCAGCATCCCGATGGGTTCCCCGGTGGGATGAGTAAAAAGCGACCCCCTTTGTCTGTCAGCTCGGCCTTCTGACGATTTTTACCGCGCGCAACTACCCCGGCGCCAGTAGCCGGCCGATTAACCCCGAGCGTACGCGGAAAGAAAAAGCGTCGCTGCGTTGATTGGTAATCCGCGGTGGCATAATAGGTAGCTAACGAGATGCCACCACGGATTTCCGCATTTCCGCAACGCGTTCGCTAGACCGTCGCGAGAGCCTCACAAACATCGTATACACCTGCTAACCTCACACTAACATCAACACCAACACCAACCCACATACAAGCTCCACGACCCACCCACCCCCAGCAACCGTGGCTACCCTCCACCGCGCAGCAATGACGCACTTCACCATCTCCATCATCTCCGACACCGTCTGCCCCTGGTGCTACGTCGGCAAGAAGCGCCTCGAGCGCGCCATCGCCCAGCACAAGCAAACCCACCCCACCGACACCTTCTCAACGACCTGGCACCCGTACGTCGCACACCACCCACCCCCTCCCACCCCGCGCCACGCCAGGTACTAACTCTCTTTTTTTCCGCTCCTCCCCAGCTTCTACCTCGACCCCACCGCGCCCGTCCCCGGCGAAGACAAACAGCAACGCTACGCGCGCCGCTTCGGCGCCTCCCGCACCGCGCAGATGCAAGCGCGCCTCGCGCAAATCGGCGCCGCCGAAGGCATCCGCTTCCGCTTCGGCGGCCGCACCGGCAACACGCGCGACTCGCACCGGCTGATCGAGCTGGGGGGGAAGCGATCCTCTTCTTCCTCTTCACCGGCGCTGCAGACGCGCGTCGTCGAGGAATTGTTCGCCGCGTATTTCGAGAACGAGCGGGACATTACCGATCGCGGGGTGCTGACGGAGGCGGGGGTGGCGGCGGGGCTGGATGAGGCGGAGGTGAGGGAGTGGTTGGAGGGGGGCGAGGGCGGGGAGGAGGTCGATCGGGAGGCGGGGGAGGCGAGGGGCAGGTTTGTGGAGGGGGTGCCGCATTTTACGGTGAATGGGAGGTGGGAGGTTGGTGGGGCGGAGGAGGCGGAGGCGTTCTTGGAGGTGTTTGGGGAGGTGAAGGAGGCGGAGGGGAGGTAAGAGGGGTGGTGGTGGTGGGGAGATGGAGGACCGGAGAGAGAGAGAGAGAGAGGGAAAGAATGTTGTTTGGATTTCGTCATGAAGTGTGAGAGGTATATTCATCGAACCGCGTGCTCTAGCGGCCGTTACCATCGTCCAAATAATCGCCCAGACAATTTGGCGTTCGTCAATCGTTCCTCGTGGACCTGGGTCTTCACGCCGCAGCCTTCTCCTGTCCGCCTCCGTTCCTCGCGGGAGAGCTGCTCTGCAATACGTCCTTCAGCAGCCCCCTCTGCCTCAGGTCATCCACTCTCTTGCGCTCCCTGGCCTCCTCGTGTTTCAGATGGATGCGCCACCAGGCCAGGAACAACAACATGCCTACAGAGTACGAGGCTTTCGTGTCAGTTGATAAGAGTCGGGTCTTCTCTCGCCCTCGTCAGAACATACCTAAGATCATGGCCCCAATTCCGCCAAACATCACACCTATCTCGTGGCCTATCGAGGGAGCAGGGACGTATCCGATGCCCTCCTCGCCGCCGCCGCCGCCGCCCGCGCGTTTGAAGATGCTGCCGAGGTTCCGGACGTCCATGATGGCGAGGTTTGTTCGCACCGAGGCAAGCGTCTGTGCGTGATCACTGCGGCCGAGGCCTCAGGTTTCCTTCTTTCCCGAGGACGAAGCTAAGGCTGGGTGTGAGAACCCCCTCCACTATCAGTCCTCAAGAGCTTGTAGATGACAGGCGATGTGGAGAAACAACAATAGAGGCGATCCACCCCACTGATAATCGAGGTCACTCCACCAGGTCGAAGCGAACACGAAAGGGCCGGGTCTGAAACAAGCCCTCTCTCTGCGCGGGCTCCAGCACCAGTCTTGTATGTCTGCCGCCCCGCTGAATCGCATCGAACTGCGGCACACAAGGCCCTTGGCTGACGTTGACAAGAGCTGCCCCGGCGCGCAGGCCTCGCCGCGACACGTTATCGTGCGTGCGCGGGAAGGGCTCGGCGGAGGTCTCGGCGGGTGGGGCGGAGCCTTGGCCTCGCGTGCGCGTGGTACACAGTGTTATACCCCGGATTATTAGCCTCGCTATCGTTGTTGCGCGGAAGGAATGGCTGGGGAGGGGGCGGCGCGGCGTAGTGCTCGGCGCCGAGGAGGGATTATGATGCTTGTTGTCTTGGATGCCTTTTGGTGCTTGCGGAAGCACAAGGCTGACACACGGTCGCGCTGGTGCTTGGAGCGTCGCGTATGTATGTAGTTGTCTTTTACTTAAGTAGATAGGCGCGGCAGCAGCCACGCATCCTACTGCTGGCTGAGCTGTCCGCTTCCTGGCTTTTGACCGGCGAGCGCGTACACGTGGAGGCTATCACTTGCCCCTTGCTGATGTGCAATACGCGTCAGATCCCGCGCTGCATCGCACTTGCTTTCCCGCGCTGTCGCCGTAGGCTACGGATCTATTTTTATCGTTTCATACATGATTCGCCAAAACATGGCGCTCTTCCCGTGTGAGTAGGTCTCAAGATGATTTCAAGTGACATAGCTCGGGCAGAAGAGGCAATTCTCGTACGAGACGAGTCTGAGAAGGCGGGAACAGTTCGTGGCCAGACATGTTGTGTCCAGAGGAGATTTCATCCAAGCTTCGGATGCTGCAAGCAGCCGTCGACCGACCGGATGGCGCACACTGCCGAGCGGGCTTCTCCAAGCACCAGTGCCTGCCAAGTATGATTACGAACGCTGAATCAAGTGGAGGTCAAGAATTATGAATACGTCGGGGTGGGCGTTTGTTTGGTAAGGAAAAGAGCGAAGAGCGAGAAGGCGCGCAATCTCGTGGCAGAGACGAAAGAATTCCGCGGTGTTGCGGGCTGACAAACCGATGCGCGAGACCGAGCGGGCGGAAGACGCCATTATCCGACGTATTCGCATCATATCAGCAAAGCATCGATCCGATAGGTACACCTTTGCAGAGCAACAACTATATAGAGCACCTTGTTGGTCGGGATTACTTCGTCAGCCCTACGTTTTACCTTCAATCAACCAAGGTTCAAACTACCAAAGGTCAAGCTACCAAAGTTCAAACCATCCTTATTCCCGAGAACCATGTCGGACCCGAGTCTCTACACCTACCCTTCGCCCCTTGAGGGCTGGGAGAACCTGCCTCCTCTGCCAAAGTAAGTCACTTACTCCACTTCCCGCCGTCTTCCTTCGGGCCGTTGCAACAAGAGATTCGCGAACGATTGGCAACATGCAAAGAGCGGGGTAAATCGTTGCCTCTAAACCCAGCTCCCCGCAGCGGCGCAGCGGCAACGAAATGAAATCCGACCTTTGCCAGCCCAACCCTCACGCACCCCTACCTCTCCTTCCCCCCCTCTCTCTCCCCCCCC